TCTAGTTAAATGTACCTTTGGGAGGATTATGGAAAGAAGACTGTAATTCCATTGGGTAGATACAATACAATGCTGCAGATTATTCAAATGAAAGATCGCAAAGCTATATTAAATCTGTTCATTCTGAGAATTTATACAGCATGTTTAGTTGAAAATACTCTAGTGATAAATGTTTTTACGCTGAGGAATCTGAGGTTATTTATATACTCACAATATTTGTTCCATTTGTGAATAGATTATTTGTTTTGAATGAGTCGCATCTGTTGAGAAGACACCTAAAGTACTAACATTGGCAATGTTGATCTGCTTAGTTGACACATCTGTGAATTTATTGTGGTTGTTCTGAGAATTTTGATGCTCTTTTAAAGTGTCATCATTCAAAGGCAATCAGGCGACTGTAAGCTGGAAAATTATGAATTTTGAGCTTTATTTGGCTCGTTTTTGATGAATTTATGAAATTTGTACAGTTGTTCTCAATTATAGACCTTCAATTGATCCTCTTTCAGGTTTGCCTTTAGCAGCCTTTAGTTGTTCAGCATCTAATCGTCTTCATATTCCTAAATCTATCCTGCACAGCAACAAAACTGTTCACAATAATCAATCTCATCAATTTCATTCTCATCTCTTGCCTGTGGCTAAAAATTGAACAATCAAAAGCATCCAATTAATCCGATAATTGACGTTTATTCGTGATTGATTCTTATTTAAACTTCCTAATTTCGATTTGATTCGATTGAGTGCATTTGAACATTATGATGACAAATCACGTCATCCACAGAAATTTAATGACATTCATAGTAAGTGAGCCACTCAATTGAAGCATATTGTTGTTTATTCCTGTGATTTGATAATGTGTTGTTTATGTTGTTCATCCTACCTACATGATGCTATTCTTAAATATGGCAACTTACCTTTTTCAATCGAATAAAACGATATGTTAAGGCGGTGCTGTGGCTCTTGTAATATCCATTCTTCAAAAATTGTGACGTCAACAAATTTCAACAAAATTTATCTGAAAATAAAGCAAAGTTTACTGAAGAAATTTATTTTTAAAATTATAACTTGAAGATTTCCAATTATAATTTAAATTAAGCACTAAATCTGTTGATAAGAAAGAATATGTCTTAAGTCATTAAATCTCATTAGCACTTCACAATATTACATAATACTTTTTGCAATTAAAATAAAATGTCACAATATTAAATTGCTGGTATTTGCTATAAAAAAACCCCAAATCGGAGCTATTGACATGCTTATCAGTTTATAATAGCGCTTATTCGAAAGATTAATTTTTATTCTAAGTAGTCATTAAACAAGATTTTGTTTCATTCCTCGCACTTGCTTAATTTCCTTATCATGTTTATATTTACGAAAGCGTTAATTTGACAATTAATGAACATTTAAGATTTGAGAATTCAATTTTTCATCTTCTTGACTTTTAGAGTAAGTTTTAAAATTAGAGAGCGAAACTGATCAACTTTTATTGATTTGGTTTGGAATCTTAGCTTAAATTATGAATTGTTTTAAAATTAAACTTGACCAAAACCTACGCAACGTAAAGAATCTTTTCAAGTTCGAAAGAGTTCAATTTTAGAACAGCCTGTGAAGTATTTTTATCAGCACATAAATCTTAAAATTGTAGCTGAGAAGATTTTTATAAATTTTATCAAAACAAAACCTTTTTGTTTATTATTAAACTTGCGTAGTTCCTTCTTAATTCACTTGACACTTTTATAAATAAACCATCTAACATGCCTCTAAGATCCTTCCAACCAAAAATAGAATCAGCTTAATACAAAAGAATCACAAATAATGTCCAACACAAACACAATTTGAAATGTCACGGATTATTGACTTAATTGAATTCAGACACACCTTAAAACAGAATTATTTTGGACTTTATCAGATCATAAAGAAAATTGTATCTAAATGTCACGCAGGAAAACAACATGAAAATCACATTAAAATGTTAAAATACAGCAGCGATATGGAAATGAAATGTTTTTTTTTATGATAATATTCTGAGAGAATTTCAATTCAAATGCTATAAATAATTTGTAGATTTTGTCATCATGATGCGATAACAATACATTTCACTTTCTCCCTCATGTCATGAGAAAAAAATGTCACAATTGTTGTATGAATGAAGTGACAATACGTTTCATTATTATATTGATGTGATGTGCCACAAAAATATGTTTGAAGATCCCATAATCCGCAAAAAGCTAAGATGTTTTATATGATACATTTTTTTACGTTGAGTCTAAGCTGATATATCTGTCACCTTTATGTCATGATTCCCAGATTCATGAGGAAATATTCAAAGCCGATTAAAGAGACAGGAAAATGTGTTTTATTTTCGTTAAATTTATTCTCTTCTTGTTTGTGCTATGGACTTTTGATGATGCTATAGGACAGCATTGGCTGTTCATTCTTGGCCTTCTAAATTTAAAGTGTCAATAGTAGCTTGAGTAGTAAACACAAAACCACAATTGATTTAAACCCGATAAAGGTTAACATTAAAATTATTTTATAGCTGTTCCACCTTATATTATGTATTGAACAAAGGATTATTATTATTATTGAGGAGTAAAGCAACAACACAGACCTGCAGATTCTAAACATCAGTTTTAATCAGCTATTCAATTGTAAACTAAGCTTAATTCCATTTCATTTACAAAATCGTCCATAAACAACCAAACATTTTTTTAAAAGAGAAAAAAATTAAAAATTCTCTCCAAATATCAAATAACAAGAATAAAGTATATACAGAATAAAATTGAAGTCAAAAGCCATCTCAAGGACCTCCTGATCAAAAGTCAAAGTTCACTGCGAATCAATAAAAATGTAACGAAATTGAACATCGAAAACCACTCATCAAATACCATAAAATGGTAAGGTAAACAAGAACAAATTCACATCCCAGATAATAATTTGTGTGCTTTCTAAGGTTTTTGTATGTTTTGGCGGAAGTTTAAGTACTTTAAAGGATTTTTATATTTTGATAAATTAGAGTGAAAATAATCATATTATAGGTTTTTATGATAGAATTTGAATTATTGTCGTGAATCATTAATAAATTGTGATAAGCTGACTAAAGCAATAAGATTTGTCTACATAAATTTGTTGTTTTGTCATTTTCCGACGTCATAAGTAAAAAATCTAAAATCAAATTCAAAACTTATCAAAACATAAGAATTTTCAGCAACAATACTTTCAAAAGGTCAAACTAGTCTCTCAAAGTTTTTGTGGGGTTAAGTACCTTTAAGAAGTTCTTCAGCAAGATATTTTTTTATCAAGATTAAAATTCATTTCTAAAAAAATGCATTTTCAAGTTACTGGGGGGTCCTCGATTTGAGCAGGTGTTTTGTTCCAGAAAAATCCTATGCAAGTCAAATCTACTCAAATCGAGGACCCATAGTATTGCTGTTCATATTAGTTTTTCGGTTTGTGGCCAACTATAAGATTTTTTTAAAATTTTACGGCACAAAAAATTCTCAAAATATCAAGTTTGAACTCAATTTTGATAAGTAAATTAGTCTAGCTTTGTTTGAAGATTTTACGAGGTTAGTCTAAAGTTGTGCAAAATCACAACGTCATCCTAGTGTGTCACGGCTCACAGTTTGAGAAATGCTGAACAAGAGATTCAGAAGCTAAGCTTAGACTTCCGAACAACTGAATCAAAACTATTGAATCATTAAACATCCGAAAATCAAAAGTTTTAAAAATCAAATCAGAAAATATTATCAGCTTGATACCAAAAAGAGAACAGTAGCGACTGTTCACTGGGCTTTGGTGTGAAAGGAAGTAGCCGAAAAAAGTAAATAAAAAGAAGATTAGTGTAGAAAATTTATTCCAAATCGCAACACGACTATGCATGAAATACAATCTGTAAGACTTTACGATAGATGTAATCCCTCTTGAGGTTACATCAAGTGCTTCGTAACATTACTCATTCCAAATTAATGAGTAAAACAAAAATACGCTTTACTTTCTACACTTAAATATAATTTATTCGTCAATATATTTCGATAGCAATGCTATCATTATCAAGACTTAATTGTTACTGAAGACTTTTTGTCTTCTGTGCTGAAATCTTGCTTTTTGACCGTTGAAAATTCAAAAAGCTTTGATCTAATCGGCTGCTCCCCTGTGTTAACAAGGTCTGGTCCTTTCTCCATATACAAGCTCTCCCACGCATCCAACTGATAGCTGTTCCGAACCTCCTTCAACAACTTATACGCTTTTGGTTTGTGCTTTTCTATAATGCAGTGCGCTGCCATCGCTGACTTCTCTTCTTCATTATTCTTAAGCGCTCTTACATGTTCCTTGATTCTTGTTTCAACTCTTCTTTTAGTTTGACCAACATAGTTTCCTGAGCAACCTCCACATTGGATATTATAAATTCCCGATTTGATTTGGATTGGTTTTCTCTTTCTAACTTGTCCAATGAGATCTTTTAACTTGTTAGAGTTTTGAAAGCATACATTCATTCCTTGTGACTTCATTACCTTTGAAATGTTACATGTCAAACCAGAATGATACGGCATAACTACATTCCTACTAAACGTCGTCCAGACCTTGTTAACACAGGGGAGCAGCCGATTAGATCAAAGCTTTTTGAATTTTCAACGGTCAAAAAGCAAGATTTCAGCACAGAAGACAAAAAGTCTTCAGTAACAATTAAGTCTTGATAATGATAGCATTGCTATCGAAATATATTGACGAATAAATTATATTTAAGTGTAGAAAGTAAAGCGTATTTTTGTTTTACTCATTAATTTAGTGTTCTTTCTACAAATTTCCGACATAATTCTTCGATTACTCATTCCATTTCATTTTCTCATTCATAACATAGTAAACAGCATAAAGAGATAGAAATGCAAATTGATTTCAGTGCTGCTTTTTTTTTATCTACATTTGAAAGTTAATGAAAATTTATCAAAAAGGAAATTTAATTCAAATCAACAATTTTTTTATTTCTTCCTATATGTTTGCAGTAAAGCAACTAGAAAGATGAAGGCTATCTTACTACAGTGTACATTCCTAACGACACTCTGTCTAGCATCGCAATGTATTGCATCAAATCCTATGGACAATTCAAAATATATACCCGTAAGTAGAATTTACTCAGAATTTGTTGTTTATTTTTTTGTGATTATTATTTTCATTTTCTCAGTATTTTGAGTGTGCTCAAAAAGTCCCTCAAATCGTTGATGACTCAGAGAGAAAGAGGAAATAACAAATTGAAGTCATAAAAATTGGTAGCTGCGTAAATTATTTGTTTTCATTTGAATTATTGCGAAATTTGTCAGTATTCCAATCATTACAATGAATTGATTTGAATGTAAATTGAGTCTAAAGACCTTTGAGTTCATTCAAAACTTGAGACATTAGGTTCACAGCTTCAAGAAACACTTTTAATCTTCTACGACATTACAAATAGGTTTTTGGATATCTATTTTTAAGAACTTGATTGAACAAGTCTTGAATTTTCATAAGCAAACTTCTTTAATTAGCAACAATTTATTTTGAGAGATCTTTCTTTCCTTTAAAGACAATTGCACTCTTCACCAATGCATTCTTTAGCTAACCTGATGGATTCCACAATCCTAGTCAAAATCTGGTCCGAAAAAAAAATTAAATGTTTTTCAAATAAATTCATTCAAAATTCATTTATAAACAATTAGCTATAATTTTGATAAGAGTTCATGTAGAGTATGATGGAAATAAGAGAACTTGATAACAACAAGATTTAATATAAATTATTAAAAAAATCAACAGCAGCTTCAGTTGACAAATAGAATTCAAGTGAGAAGCACAAATATTTAAAGGAGCAGAAAAATGCTTAAAATAATTATAATTTCGAGTTTATTAGTCAGTGCGACATTCGCAGCTCACAACTGCTCATCATTTAGCGACAGAAATCACGGATTCGGATGTGAATTAAAGAATGTGTCACCAAATAATGATACCTTCGAAGTGAATGTGATGATGCGTGACAATGATCAAAATAAGACAGATGAAGACATCATTTGGGTGCAAATTCGTGATTCTGAGTTTGTTAACTTACCTCGCGGTGTTTTTGAAAAGTTTGTGAATCTAGAAAAGATTATGATTATAAGCTCAGCAGGATTTAAAGTCTTTAATACATCGTACTTCGATAAAAAGATTACATTAGTGCTGATGAAGAATACAGACATAGAAATTGTTGGAGATCTTCCATTAGTTGGCTTGAATGAGTTAAAAATTTTAAGTTTAAATTACAATCAAATCACAAAGATCCACAAAAATGCATTCCGAGACTTAGTAAAGATGGAGAAAATCGAAATAGTTGGCAACAAACTAGAGTTCCTAGATGTCGAAACATTCCAAAATAATGTCAACCTTAAGTTGGTCTTACTTTACCACAACAAGCTCAAAGTCATTCCAGCAGATCTCTTCAGTCACAACAAATTGATCGAGTCGATTCAATTACAAAACAATTCAATTTCACAAATTGAGAAAGGCTTTTACAAGCCACTTGAAAAGCTGACTAAGGCTGACTTCTCATCAAATATTTGTATTAGTGAAACAATTTCGTTGACGCGGGCCATTCAGTGGAACGCACAAGTGTTCAAATTTAAGGATTGCTTCAACAACTACGCACTTATGAAGTCAACAAATGATGTGATTGACAACGTACGTACAAAATTGTCAGAATTAGATGACAAGGTCAGTAATGTGGTTGAGAGAGTTGATAATGACTTAGCGGTGCTCGAAGGAAAGATGAAAAATGCAACGGAACTTGACAAATTCAAGACAAATTTACTCGATTTCTTTGAAAAAGATAAAAAGACATTTCAAGCACAATATGAGAATGATTTGAATAATATTACATCACACGTACGAACTGACATGATGGATGAGATCAAGAAGAATGTTGTTGATGTATTGGAAAAGTCACAGGAAGCTCAGCAAGCTCAACTTGTATCAAATGATTTTGAGCAGTTTCGTGAAAATTTTTCAGTACGATTTGCAATGATTTACTTGATGTTGTTCTTATTAGTGGCTTTTGTCGGTGCCTTGGCTTACGGAATGATCAAATATGCAGGAATATATCCATTCAATATACAAGGAGACAACAGAAAACTGATTGATGCGGAAGTCTGCTAAACATTGTAATATTATCGCGATAAAATAGTTTCATAATAATTTTTCCACAATTGATTTCCTTCATTTAATTTTAGTCTCGCATAGAAATCGCATTGCAAATGCGCCATTACTTAATAGATAGTCATAATTATTTCTTTTAATACAAAAATAAAATAAAATGTTCATTATTGTTATCTTTGCTGCGCTTGAAATAATAAATAAGTACATAAAGAATGGAGGAAAATGACGGATTTTGTGATAAAATTATAAATGCTTTTTGTATATTGTTATTCTTAAATCCATCCTGTGCTTATTACACAGCTATTCAAATATTATTTTCATATGAGTAATGATTATTTTTATTCTAGACTGATTCAATGATAATTATTAATGTTGTGTTCCGTTAAGGCAGTTAATTTAATTAGGGATTTGTGCTGTATAAGGGATATCTATTGAGTTCGTTGACTTTGCTGAACTATGTTGTTGGTGTAGTCGAACTGTAAAATAACTGTCAATTTAAATTTTCTTTAGCTTAAAAACCTCACTAAAAAGATCGGATCAGGATTGGATCGGATTGTACAATCCCGGGATTATCTTCTTAATATTATTTCCTAAATTGACATAAAAATATAAGTTTACATTTAGAAAACATTTTTTAGGAATATTATTACTTAAAGAAAACTTAACTGTAAATTAAACTTCATAAATGTTAAATTCTAGGTCAATTTTGTGCAAGGATATAATTTTTTGATGGATTATCTTTGTTTTTGTTTTGTAAAATGTCACAAGAAAAAAAAAGTTGTTAAAATTGTAAAATATTGTTTTCGATTCCTGAAAATTTCAGCTTCAGGACCTTCATGTGAAAAATTTTTTACGTGCGTACAATCAATTGCTCCGACCGCCGTTGGAAATTTGGACATCGTTTAAAATCCAGTAAAATTGTTTTGCAATTCTCGTTGATTTATAGGCATAAATATGTAATTGCGCGATAAAGAAGCTATTGCTTTAGAAGTTTCATTAACGATCCTAGACATAGATGCAACACTTATTCCTGATAAATCCCCAATTGTTTGCAGAAAAGTTCCTGTAGCATAAAACCGTAAAGTACTGTACAGTTTTACTTTTGTAAAACAATATATTTTCATTTGTGCTAAAAGTTGGCTTTAATACTATACATTTCGTACCTTTGAGTTGTAGGTGCTATTAAAGGCTTTATTGCTCTTTAATTCCATAAAAGAACTTTTACTGACACGAAATCTTGAAATAAATTCAAGATCGTCCAAAGTTTCCATTTCAAGAATTCGTTAAAGTTCACATTAATCTTTGAATTCCAAAAATCTGTTAAGGTTCAAAATTTAAATTTAATAAATCCGTTATTTTTGTAAAAATAATTAAAAGCATAAAAACTTTAAATTTTAGAGACAACTTAATTTATTTAAAATTCAAAAATTCATATCAATCTTTTTTGTAATTCACTTTATAAATTTAATATAAATTTTCATATCATTTGAAATGCGATAACCCGTCGTCATTTCAAGCCAGACTAAATTTCCTAGCTAAATTAAAAATGAGACATGAATTTAGATATTTCGAGAGTTGTTCACTAATGACGTCCAAGCAATTAAAAATCAGGTTCGTTCTTTGGAAAATTTCATATCGGACTCTAAAATCCCAATTTTTTTTGTAGACGTCATTAATTGATTGTTCCCTTGAAGAATTTAGACATAGACATAGCATAAGCTGAAAATTAAAAGGAAGACTAGTTTGGATGTACACGATTCGCAAAATGCAGTGGAACGCCTTTCTCTAAAATGAACTTCTTCGATGCTTTATGGATGAATGGATAATAGTGAAGGAGAGACTCCCATGCTATTGCACTCAATTTCGGAATGGTTACCCACATTTTATACAAGTTATTTGTACGCTGTGCAGTGGATGTAATCCCACCAAATATGCTGTAGATGATAAAAACAAATAAGCATTGACATAAATTGTCGAATAATGTTGTACTTACTACATACAGCCGTCACTTGTTATAGCAGCATCATGGAAATAGAGAGTCGTTCGTAAACCAGCTTTTTTGAAGCAAAACCACTGACGCGTTTTAAGTGAAAATCTCCAGACATCATTCAATGGTCCTGAATGATTATTACCACCAACAATATATACGAATGTCTCCTCCTCACCGTTTACATCTTTTAGTGTATGCTGTACAAGTGAATGACACTTGCGTGGCTTTGGATATTCGTCGTCAGCATTAGGATAAGTGTCTACTCGATTCCATTTACGTTCGAATAAGTCATAAACAGGTAGTTCCTTTAAATCAAACACTTGATCTGCAGTTCCACCTCCAAATATATATATGTAACGAGAATCGATTGCTATTTCATGTCTATACCTTCCAATTGGTTGAATTGGATCTATTTCAGGCCTACTTATTGCTAAAAGTTCCCACTTATGATTCTTAAGATCCAGTCTGTAATGATTTTAAGGAATTAGAGAATTTATAGGAACAAGAAGCAGTCCCAAGTAACCAAAATGTTTCATAAAATTTTCCTTCGACGTCGATGGAAGATTAAATGTATCATTATTTATTATATGTAAAATATTTGTTTTACAAACATGTAACAAAAGTGTTCCATCGAAGTATTACCCGAGCCATCTTAGGATCAAATCCTATGAAAAATCATCAAAAAAATATTTTTTTGCAGGAAAATAATATTTGTTCTAAATTTGGCATTTGCCACATACTTCACAAGAGCTCGCAGAAATCACTATTATAAGTTATCTAAATTTGTACGGGGCTTTCAATTAATTATATATTTTCCTCAGGTTTGTGTGCGATTATTGGGCGTTCATCAGTATGCGGCTTAATTAAATTAAGTCCTTTTTGTTCTTTTTCGTAGTGGTATTGTACTTTAATTAAGTACATACTTTTACAATAAATTACACAAATAAAAGAAAAATACAAAAGAACACGTGGAATTTAACACGTGTTTTATCCAATAAAAAAGTAATTCATTTGTATTCCTTTGATGTATTACATTGATGTCTTATTGCATTGTCCATTTATCTTCCAATTTCATAGGACATCATCTTCCGATGGATAATACATGGATAATACATATGTATCTTCCATGGAAGATTCTCATGGAATACATTGATCTACCTTTTGGTTACTTGGGGTAGAACTTACCGAAATAAGTCGGCAGTATAATCAAATCCCTGCGTGCCACCTAAAGTATACAGATAATTGTTCTTACATACAATTGACATCCCATATTGCTGCGGCGGTTGATTCACTTCATCATTATAAGTCTTTAATTCATTTATCCGAAAAGGCTGATCAGTTTTAATAAGTGTGATTGTATTTGAGCAACGTAATCCGAATGGATATGAAGTTCCACCGAAAATAACCAGTGTTTTACCATAAATTAACATTGAACTCGATGCCAATTCATCAGGAATGTCCTCATCACTCATTCCATCGTCCGATATGTCATCGTCATTAATTAACTTCCAGCGTTTTGTTACAAAATTATAGCAAAGAATTTCTTTGTACAAATTATGAGAATCGTCATTTTCCTTGAAGTTATAACCACCAAAGCTATACAAATTGATATCGTCACAGCAAATTCGATGTCCTTATCGGGAGTATAATGAAAATTTAATTAAATTTGACGTGTTGGAAGTAGAACAAAAACTTACCACTTCTTTCGCCAGGAATAAAGGAATCTGAGTAGTTCTCCTTAGTTATCTCAAACGGACGAAATTTATACAATTTCATTGTCATTTAATTATACTAAATACATTTAATTAAAGCACAATTAAGTATTTATCACTAGAACTTAATGAAATTAAAACTTTCTTGTTTTCTTGTTCGAAAATAAAGAAATTTTCAAAACAATCCCGAGCAACACAATGTCAGGTACTCCAAAAAAAATTCTTTTGACAAGCATAAGGGCGATTCTACGAATGATTTTTTCTACAAATTTGTCTCCAAATCTATATTTCTCTTTATCAGTTGCATTACTCCCCATGTTTCATGTATTTAATAGTAGATTTTACCGAGATCTTTAATTGTTCTCACCCAAACATATTAAAAATGGTTAATTAAAGAATTATTTACATTTCGCCCAAATTTCCAAAATGTTTTCATTAAAATCTTTAAGGTGGTAAAATTTCCAGTAATACTAAGTATACAAAGTTATAGCTTAAAGTAAAAGCTTCAAAATGATGTCAAAATCATATTTGTGGAAGCCTTAATTAAGCTGCAATTTGGATTCTACGAAAAATTTCATAAGTGAAACAGAGTAATTTGGAGACAATTCCAAAAAAAACTACCAAATACTAAAATAAAAACCATTAATTTCTCAAGCCATAGCTAAGTAATTTGAGTGCAAATGTAATCATAATTCACAGTTTAACCAATAGAAAAGGAAATGAGAATTAGATTTTTGAAAAACTATGCACAAGTGAAAATAAAATAATTAAAAAATTTCATGCAATTGACACGGATTATTTTCATGAAACCTTTTCGTAGAATCGCCTATAAACAAAACCATTTTTGAAGACTTTCACTGCCTAACCTTACAATGTGTTGCTCGGGATTGAATCCAACGTCAATGTTGCCTCTTTCTTAAAGTTATTTATTCAATAAGTAATAAATTACACAGGCTTACAGCTTGTTATTTAAAATTCCTTCACAAAATGTAATATTATCCTGTACAGTCTATATTCTGACAATGAACTGTAATGCTGAAATTTATGAACGAAAATTTTATGTGCCGAGAAAAAAAATACACACGCACACTTTCAAACACATTTTCTAGTGTATGCGCAAATTCAAAATTTTCTCGTTTGAAATAATAACGAACTTTCTTCTTACTTCGTTGATTTTTTGAGCACAGCACTATGTGGCATCGAAATAATGATAATAATTAAATTTCTCTTTTTAATTTCAGGAAAAATATTTTAATCTGAAACGAACAAAGCCATCGCTTTCTATAGCAAATCCTCTGGATGTTCTACGTCAACGAGTTATATTAGAAATGGCTCGAAGGCAGAGAGAAAAAGCTATACACCAGGTAGATCCAAGTTTTTTATAACAATATTTAAGGATCTCATTTATTCTTTTCTTTTGTTCTGATTCGCTGCCTACATCTACATTCAGGCCGACATCAATAGAGAAATTCTAAAGACCATCGGAAAGCGTGGAAATTCACTTGATTATAATGATATTGAAGAATACTTGAGAAGTCGATATTATGACGTTGCACGAGGATATGCGCCTGTCTATCAGCCTAATCATGGAAGTATAATGTTAAATAAGGTGGAACCACAGCAGCAGCAACAAGAGATTCATCCAAATTTAATTGCTCAAAATGAAAAGGCAAATGGAAAAGTTGAAAACGAAAATAAATTAACATCGAATGGAAACGCAATAACAAATGAGGCGAGTCAGGATCCAATTTATATTTTTGATGACGCAGGCAACAGCAACAATCTTGAAGATGATGACGAAACGCAAGTAAAATATTTATACAGTCTACTCAAAAACAGAATCCCCAATAGCATCTAAGGAAAGGTCTTTGATGAAAACGTAGATCACCCTCTCATAGAACAAAAAAGAAGAAAGTCATAATGCTAGCAAAAGATCCCCTCAAAATGCCCTGTAGAAAACTTTTAAAAAATCTTTCCATGTAGAAATATAAAGAAAAAAAAAATCAATTACAATGAGAATCAGTATTATCTTATTGACAAGAAATCTTGAATATGATTAATTGGGGTACGCAATGTTGGCACGACTACCTTTTATGGATTTTATCAGGTGACACATTTAGTTGTGCAGTACAGATGCATCTTTTTATATAAAAATTTATTGAAGTTGGAATTGCTTATTTTGGATTATTTAAAGGATTTTGTTGGTTTTGTCGATTGATAATTATAATATCAATTATAGTTATAATAGTCACAATTTATTCAAAATGTAAATTTTTTTGGAGAATCCAGTCCTCTAAATTTCAAACAAAGAAATATTAAATTTAATTTTTGAACGGAACCAAAGCATTGCGTACCTCAGAAAAAGACAAAAGTCAAAAAAAATTATGAAATTAATCACACAAGAAATTTAATAAATTTATTTAATTGACAAAAAAAAATTAAATCAATGTTTGTTGTAGAATTTCTATTGCTTTGTTACTTAATCTATAAACTCGATAGTTTTGCTTTACAATCACAATCCTCAAACAACAAGAAATGGAAATAAAAGAATAATGATCAAGTAAATATTTTTGTACTGAAAACCTATTAGCTGGCTTTAATTGATGTTAAATATTAGAATATGTTGCAAAATGTCAAATAATTGACAAAAAAAAATATTTTTTTGCTTTCAAAACTTCACTGATTTTTTGACGAGAAACTTTACTTCTTCCCTGACTTCTTCAATTTTTGTTGTTTATTTTCCTTTACCATGCAAACATCCTTTTTACTTCCTTTTCATCGCGCATATATGGAAATAAGAATCCTCAATTTGTAACATCGATTGTCGTTTATGACTTGTGCTTTATGTACACATTTTTCCCTGTCTTTAGCTTTTACAAGCAAAGGATTTAATGCTAATGGAAATAAAATGAAAACTTCTATAACTCATTTACTTCTTACGCAGGGTATGCGAAAAAGGTATTTGAGAAAATTTGATTGAAATTGTTTTGGATTTTTTTGGATGGAATTTATAAGAAAATCTTTTCAAAGAGAAAGTTGAAAATTATTTAAGATAAATTCATTTCAATTTTATATTTCTTAGTTCTAATTTTGTAACAATTTGATTCTTAAATATATGAAATTAAAAAGATTTTTTAACAAATATTTCTTTCGTATTGAAAACAAAATATTTGGAACTTATTCTATTTTTAAAAGCAAAAATTTAACTTTTCAACAAATATATGAAACTTAAGTTTAGAACGGTACAATAGATTCTATCATCGATCAGGATCGCAGTGCCTCCGGCTCGTCGCAACGTGTAGCAACACATCGCTCGGCTGGAACCCTCTCACACATTATTATTATTATAAGTTTAGAAACTTTAAATTTACTTAAAAGAACATTATTAAGTTTAAAAATTCTTGTTCAGAAATTTCTAAAAACTAATTCAAAATCCAAAAAATTCTCAAACTCAATTGCAGACCACGACTTTTCAAAATATTACAAATTCTTCATTATTTCCAAACGACAGTAAAATAATATCAAACAAATATTTTCCCACCATTACATTCTATTTAAAGGTCTATAGAAAGATAGCTCATGTTTCAATATTATATTCTGGAAAAAAATTGTAAATAACGAGCAAATTATTAAAAAGAAAAATATATAAAAGAGCCTCATTTTACAATCATGCTGGTTATTACAACGCCCTGATCCTTTTTTCCTTATTAAAATGTTGCATAAACTGGAAATTATTGTTAATCTTCGTTTATCTTTTGCATGCGTTTGGGGAGATTCCATCGTTGAAGAAGTAAAATGTTTAAAGTTTGATTTTCAGATTTTGTTGCCTTATTTACAGAAATTAATTTTAAACTATGTAAAAAAACCTTATTTGCAGCTAATAAAACAATAAAATCAAATATTTTGAATTAAAAATGTTAAAATATATTGAAGAAAGTTGAAATAATAAAAAAAACTAAATTTAAAAATTTCCTAACCTCAAATTTTGTTCAAATTTTAATTTAAATATAGAAATTTAATTACAGAATGCTTTAAATGTCTACAAAACTGGATATACTAGTTGATTTGACGTTTTAACATTTATTTCAATTATAATAAGAATTCCTTAACCTCAAAAAAAAATTTCACCTTCGGAATCGCCCATTTGACCATTATAAATTTTAACGATTCAAAAATAATGAATGATGAATAACTTTTTTGACATTGAAATAAAGAGACATGAATAAATGCAACTATGGCAACTATTTAAATCATATAATAATAATAATAATGATTATAATGAAAACTTTTATTATTAAAAAAGAATATATATATATATACAAAAATAAGTCAAAAAAGGATAATTATATGGAACATAATAAAATGACAAATTTACTTTTAATCAAATAATAACATTTATGGTGTTAATTCAACAAGGAAATTCTATAAACACAAAAAAAAAACACAAATTATTTTAAATAATATACAGAATGATTGAGATGAAATAAAATGAAATGTTTTAATTAAATAATGAAAAAAGTGTGTTTTAAATATTATTATCATTATTGACTAATAAAAAGAAAAGGAAAAAGAGAGAGAAAAAAATATGAAAATAAATAATATATTTTATTTTACATACATAGAAAGAGAAGAATGAGGAAATATAGGAGATGATAACTTTATATACAATGAAATAAAGAAGTTAATGAGGAAAAAATATGATATTAAAATTAATAAAAGAGAGAAATTATTGAGTTAGCATAAAATACTATGACACTCACGTATGTATATAACTTTTAGTGCTAAGCAATAATGATATGATATATATTAATTTTATGAACGATGATAATGATGAAAGAGACAATGAAGAAGTAAAGTTGAAATTGAAAATGCACGTGTTTTTAATTTTTTTCCTTCCACCTCAGAGTTTTGCTTACCTTTTCAGACTTTACTTTGATATTCAGCTTTAGTTTATTTCAGTTTGTTAATTTAACAATCTTGTTGAATAAAGAAATTGTGAATCTTCAATCTGAAAATGTTTTTGGCGCCAACATTTGCAAACATTTAAATCTTAAAAATACGTTTTATTTCAGATTCTTTGTTTTTCACTCAAAAAAGGAGATTATTACATCACCCACTCATAAAAACTAGGTTAAGTGCCACAGTCAACTCTTAATCACCAAATTTTAAACAATCCATTTAATCACACCATTATCCACTTCCAAAAAACTTAATATTAATTCAACAGTCTGACGTAAATGAGAGAATTTTACGGACAATTAATTATTTTTATGCTCCGTATCAGAACATCGTGGAACAAGATAATTATATCTCATTTCATCATCGGCGTCTTCTTCTTAAATGGCAGTATCATTACAAAAACTATTCAACTAAATTAACTCTATACGACATGAATAATTATTCCAAATGATGTTTATTTATAGATCGTAGATACACATGCAGTTTTATGTAATAATTTATAGGTTTTAATGAACTTCCAATGCTCGCAACATGTCTAATGTGTTATCAATTTAATTACAGATTTAAAATGTCTATCCTTTCCTCTCCGTGTACGAGAATGTACAGTAAACATGAAAATGAAAATTTCCCCAAGGAGTCACATATCGCAAGAAAATTACAAGATTCTTGACAAGATGACACATCAAGGTTGTTTCCATCTCACATTTGCTACCTCTACTATCAGTTGTTGATGATATTCACGCTTCAAAACAAACCGAGCATTATTGTGAATGAATTTCTTGGGGAAAATAAATGTTAAATATTTTGGAAAGCTATCAAGAAGGTATAGAAAGATGAGCATAGCAACTTTATATCTTTCTACAAATTCCACGAAAACCCGCTTTACAAATTCTCAAAACTATACTTACCTCAACAGCATTCAAGCCTTCATCCTACTCTCAACACAAAATAAAATTCAAAAAGTCAATAACGTCACAAAAATTGTGTTGTGCATGTAAATTTTATTTCTTTTCTACGTCTTCCTTCATCGATTTGTAAAATTTTCATGTCCTATTAATTTTACATCTCGAAAATGATGTTCACATTCAAGCCATAAATCACATTAAAAACTTTTTACTTAATATCACACAATAACGCAACACCCCTCAATGTCCAATGACGTGGACTCAAATCAGTTTCAAAATCAATTGATCCAACATATTTTTGATCCGTTCGCTGTGGTTTTCTATAAATTGGACATTCATAAAGTTTCGGATCTTTGCCAGCTGTTGTGTTTATGGCGTAGATGTAAATTATTGGCATTTGCTCGTATAATATTTTTGCTTTTGATTCTATCAACTTTCCACTGCGACGATCTAGTGATGCACCTGTTGGAATTTGAATTTTAAATGTTAATGATTTTTAAATGGTGAGAACTTATTAATGGTAATCAGTGTTGCATTCTGGCTATTTGTCTGGATCAGATAAATTCTGAGACAGAAATTTCTTCATAAAGATCGATTCTACATGAAGATAGAAAATCTAATCTACACAAAGATTATTTCTACATATAGATTCTGTCTACATAAAGATTCGATGTAGATGTCTACAATTCTACATTCTTCTCTGATGTAGAACTGGAAAAAATGTAGAATTGTAGACGTCTACATCGAATCTTTATGTAGACAGAATATTTATGTAGAAATAATCTTTGTGTAGATTAGATTTTCTATCTTTATATAGAATCGATCTTTATGAAGAAAGTTTCGTAGCTAGACAAAAACTATTGAAGAATCATACATTCTTCATCTAGTGTAGACATCTACATTTGCAACACTGATGGTAATTTGAGATTTAAATTCTCTGAGCTTTTTGAGTAGTTGATGTCCCTTCTATTCTGGTTTCAGAAAATTCTCAGTTCATAAATCTCAAGTTCGCGTCTAGTGAGCTAATAAAGTGTGGACCTTATTAGCCAAATATTACAACCAGTAGACGGACTAACGTTAAGATAGCAACTCTATCAGTTAAAACAGTAAAATTAAATATAACTAATGACTTTTCATTTTCAGTAAGTTCTTTAAAATTCTCGCAAGATTAATCTTGAAGATCAACGCCTTCAGTAAATCTTCAACGAAACACAAAGAACCGTCAACACAACACTCCGTATTGCCTCCTAAAAACAAGCTTATAAAAAAAATTTAAAATTTTGTGTGAATATGAAAAAAAGTTTTAGATGTCTTTATAATTCTAAAAATAACCAGTCAGTCGATTATTGTTTGCTCTCGTTATAAGGCTTCATAAAATAACTCGAGCTAATCATCACGACAAACAACAACAAGACAAGTTGTTCTATGATGTAAAAGATGACAAATATTTACAAAGGAAATCAAACAAACTTTATCTCTCAACAGCCGCAATCATAATGATTTCTTTCTGTTTTTGGACATAACAATATTGTTTGCTCGAATGGATGATGAAAACAATGGAATGGGAAGCCTTTTTGGTGTATTTTTAAAAATATGTATGTGATAATAGGGATTTATGAGATTTATAATTTTTCAACTGGTGATTTTCGATTCTCATGCCACGCTCAACATAAAGCCACTGACGCCTATCAGAGATTATGATAAATATGAGACAAATATTTATGTTTTATGAGCAAACAAAGCTTTCGGCGTTTGGAATTGTTTATTATGCAGATTTTTCAAAGAAAAAGCCAATATTATATGAAATATGTTGGTTCATTTGTTATTTGTCTCAATTTCTTTGTTCTGGTGCTGCATATGCTTATACCCTTCTAGGATTTGTCGAGATTGGTCAATAGATATTGAAAAGTCACTGGGATTATCGAACATCAGAGATTTTTTATGATTTAGATAAATTTTTTGGGATTTTTGATCTTTTTCTGAACTTCATTCTAAGCAAAGCTTAAAGTCAAATCTAGTCAACTCTAAACTTTTATCTAGAACTTAATTTGAGGCCATATAAGTTCACTGGTTGCGATCAAAAATTGCCACGACTTTTACCCTTTTCAGCTTCCTTTATCTTTACCATTGTTGATTAAAATCATTAAAAATTCAGATTGCATACAATTTTGTTGATTGCTTCTTCACAATTCCCAACGTATAATAATGAAGAAAGAAAAAAAAGTTCGCAATCATCAATAAAGAACAACGCAAATGAGGCATCGACTGGAGAATAATAAGAAGATAATATTTTGATAACTTTTATTGAACTTGAAGAGTCAATGGGAAGTAAAATGTGAGAAAAAAATCATCTGGAGATTTACGGAGTATTAGACATGCTAATAAAAGCGCAACAGTGTCATTTTTCACGAAATATAATCTGACAGTATTTTTGATTTATGGTGGGAATGTTTATCGACGAGCTTTAAGTTTTCCTCGAAAGCAACCTTTTTGAAGCTTAAATTTTTTGGCATCAAACTTCATTTGTCATGTTCGGCAAATGATAATATGCCTCAATATATATTGCATTAAAAATTTATACTGATTATTATTCACATATGAGTAAGTTCTCAATGACGTAGATGAAAAGCTCAATAAAAAATTAAAATCAATATGTAGTCATAATCCTCTTATGGTTGCGGCACGTAAACAGTAAAGAAAATATTTCACATACCTTCCAAAAAGAGTCCATGAACATAAACACCTAGTAATAACAGAACATAAATTAATGGAAAGTCTAGTTATTTCAATGCTTTATCAATTTTACCTTCTGCCGGTGGATCATGGATGTCTTCCTTGTTGTAACGTGTTATTTGATTCTGGAGAATTACAGAGTCAAGTGCCCAGCCTTTATGAGCTCGAGTTACTTCCTATGTGGTAGTTAAAATGAAGAATGTAAGAAAAAGAAATAAATTATTGGATAAAGATGTAAGAGCTTATCATTTGGATTGTAAGGTGCAATCAAGTCTCTATGCCGAGTAGGAAGACATAGCCAGAACGCTAGAAATCCCCCTAGAAAATCTGGATTTCCTTTGAGCTAAAAAGTTAAATTCCCTCTTGAAAATGGCTAAATCCCTTAAATTTAACAACAGATTCTTCACATCTTCCAAAGGTCAACTTTTAATCTCTATTCTATATCTTCACAAATGCTGTCTTTCTCAGTCCTTAAAATATTTTCAACAAGAAGGAAATATCAGAAATAAAATTATTCCTGACGTCTTGTAAGTTCGCAAAAGAAAGACATAAGAAAGAGCATAAAAGTACACGTAGTAAAAAGAAATCTTTAATTTTGCACTAGGGCAATTCCATGAGTGAAAAAATGCAAGTAAAATTCTTTTTGATCAAAATACTCTTAAAATAACACCTTTTTTCATTCTTTTAAAAATTTATAATTAGAAATAACTCAAGATATTCATTTTAAAATAGGTAATTAAACGTTTAAAGGTCTATTTACTGAAATAATTCAGTTTTTTCATCGTTAATCGGTTAAGTTTACGAAAATTTTGCTTCTTGTATCCTTAAAAACGTCTTCAAATATCCATTTTTAGTGCTCAAGTATATTTTTAAGCCATAGATATTCACTTTTTCTACTTATTTGTACCCTTTTTCTGTTCTTAAATGCTTTATTCACAGAGAAAATTAAAAAATACTGCGTTAATCGGTTAAGTTTTCAGCGCTTTATCCAAAACCAACAATAAACAGAATATTTGAATTTTGAATTTCCGTTAAATTTATTTATTGCTAAGAATAATTTCTCTTCGAAAAATAACATTTTATTGGGTTAATAATGCATTTAATGTGTTTTTTTTTTCATGTTAACATCATGATTTTGTGTAATAATCGTAATAATAATCAAGGCAATGAAAATTAGTTTGAATCTTTTGAAAATTTATAACGGTAAAAAAAATTCAAATTCCTACAAGTAGAAAAATATTACAACTTGCTTTTTCTCAGTTCCCTTTACTCGTGGAATTGCCCACTATGCTCTTTTGCGTTGAGTATACAACAAGATGACAATCAAATCATTATGCTTGATAATATGACTAACGATATAAGCGTGAAGCGCTCTTGCATATATCACTAAATCTTGAATTTGTGACAATTAAAAATCATTCAAATATGTTTTCAAAAGCATTTGGTTTGTGAATATATTATAAAAAAGCTAGAGCTGGTTTAAATTAAACGCCCTACGCTTTTATTTTTAATCATAATTTATCATTTATAATACCTATTTATGTTTTAAAATGCAATTTAAAACATTTTTGGTTTTAATCATAGTAGGCTTTTTTCAAAAAAAATTCGATTTCTATCAATATTAGCATTCTTTATCATTTATAATACCTAGATATGTTTTAAAATGCAATTTAACGCATTTTTGGTTTTGATCAAAGTAGATTTTTTTCATAAAATATTGATTTTATATCTATATTGGCATTCTTAATCATTTATAATACCTAGATATGTTTTAAAATGCAATTTAAAGCATTTTTGGTTTTGATCATAGTAGGCTTTTTTCAAAAAAATTTGATTTTATATCTATATTAGCATTCTTAATCATTTATAATACCTAGATATGTTTTAAAATGCAATTTAAAGCATTTTTGGTTTTGATCATAGTAGGCTATTTTCAAAAAAAAATTCGATTTTTTATCTTTACTAGCATTCTTAATCATTTATAATACCTAGATATGTTTTAAAATGCAATTTAAAGCATTTTTGGTTTTGATCATAGTAGGCTATTTTCAAAAAAATTTGATTTTATATCTATATTAGCATTCTTAATCATTTATAATACCTAGATATGTTTTAAAATGCAATTTAAAGCATTTTTGGTTTTGATCATAGTAGGCTATTTTCAAAAAAAAAATCGATTTTTATCAATATTAGCATTCTTCATCATTTATAATACCTAGATATGTTTTAAAATGCAATTTAAAGCATTTTTGGTTTTGATCATAGGAGGTTATTTTTAAAAAAATTCGATTTTTTATCTTTACTAGCATTCTTTGTCATTTATAATACCTAGATATGTTTTAAAATGCAATTTAAAGCATTTTTGGTTTCGATCAAAGTAGGCTATTTTCAAAAAAAAATTCGATTTTTTATCTTTACTAGCATTCTTAATCATTTATAATACCTAGATATGTTTTAAAATGCAATTTAAAGCATTTTTGGTTTTGATCATAGTAGGCTTTTTTCAAAAAAATTTGATTTTATATCTATATTAGCATTCTTAATCATTTATAATACCTAGATATGTTTTAAAATGCAACTTAAAGCATTTTTGGTTTTGATCATAGTAGGCTATTTTCAAAAAAAAAATCGATTTTATATCTATATTAGCATTCTTAATCATTTATAATACCTAGATATGTTTTAAAATGCAATTTAAAGCATTTTTGGTTTTGATCATAGTAGGCTTTTTTCAAAAAAAATTGATTTTATATCTATATTAGCATTCTTTATCATTTATAATACCTAGATATGTTTTAAAATGCAATTTAAATCATTTTTGGTTTCGATCATAGTAGGCTATTTTCAAAAAAATTTGATTTTATATCTATATTAGCATTCTTAATCATTTATAATACCTAGATATGTTTTAAAATGCAATTTAAAGCATTTTTGGTTTTGATCATAGTTGGCTATTTTCAAAAAAAAAATCGATTTTTATCAATATTAGCATTCTTCATCATTTATAATACCTAGATATGTTTTAAAATGCAATTTAAAGCATTTTTGGTTTGGATCATAGGAGGTTATTTTTAAAAAAATTCGATTTTTTATCTTTACTAGCATTCTTTGTCATTTATAATACCTAGATATGTTTTAAAATGCAATTTAAAGCATTTTTGGTTTCGATCAAAGTAGGCTATTTTCAAAAAAAATCGATTTCTATCAATATTAGCATTCTTCATCATTTATAATACCTAGATATGTTTTAAAATGCAATTTAAAGCATTTTTGGTTTGGATCATAGGAGGTTATTTTTAAAAAAATTCGATTTTTTATCTTTACTAGCATTCTTTGTCATTTATAATACCTAGATATGTTTTAAAATGCAATTTAAAGCATTTTTGGTTTCGATCATAGTAGACTTTTTTCAAAAAAAAAAATCGATTTTATATCTATATTAGCATTCTTAATCATTTATAATACCTAGATATGTTTTAAAATGCAATTTAAATCATTTTTGGTTTCGATCATAGTAGGCTATTTTCAAAAAAATTTGATTTTTTATCTTTACAAGCATTTTTATCATTTATAATACCTAGATATGTTTTAAAATGCAATTTAAAGCATTTTTGGTTTCGATCATAGTAAGCTATTTTCAAAAAAAATTCGATTTTTTATCTTTACTAGCATTCTTAATCATTTATAATACCTAGATATGTTTTAAAATGCAATTTAAAGCATTTTTGGTTTCGATCATAGTAGGCTATTTTCAAAAAAAATTCGATTTTTTATCTTTACTAGCATTCTTAATCATTTATAATACCTAGATATGTTTTAAAATGCAATTTAAAGCAGTTTTGGTTTTGATAATAGTAGGCTTTTTTCAAAAAAAAATCGATTTTATATCTATATTAGCATTTTTATCATTTATAATACCTAGATATGTTTTAAAATGCAATTTAAAGCAGTTTTGGTTTTGATAATAGTAGGCTTTTTTCAAAAAAAAAATCGATTTTATATCTATATTAGCATTTTTATCATTTATAATACCTAGATATGTTTTAAAATGCAATTTAAAGCATTTTTGGTTTCGATCATAGTAGGCTATTTTCAAAAAAAATTCGATTTTTTATCTTTACTAGCATTCTTAATCATTTATAATACCTAGATATGTTTTAAAATGCAATTTAAAGCAGTTTTGGTTTCGATCATAGTAGGCTTTTTTCAAAAAAAAATCGATTTTTTATCTTTACTAGCATTCTTTATCATTTATAATACCTAGATATGTTTTAAAATGCAATTTAAAGCATTTTTGGTTTTGATCATAGTAGGCTATTTTCAAAAAAAAATCGATTTTTTATCTTTACTAGCATTCTTTATCATTTATAATACCTAGATATGTTTTAAAATGCAATTTAAAGCATTTTTGGTTTCGATCATAGTAGGCTTTTTTCAAAAAAAAATCGATTTTTTATCTTTACTAGCATTCTTTATCATTTATAATACCTAGATATGTTTTAAAATGCAATTTAAAGCATTTTTGGTTTTGATCATAGTAGGCTATTTTCAAAAAAAAATCGATTTTTTATCTTTACTAGCATTCTTTATCATTTATAATACCTAGATATGTTTTAAAATGCAATTTAAAGCATTTTTGGTTTTGATCATAGTAGGCTATTTTCAAAAAAAATTCGATTTTTTATCTTACTAGCATTTTTTATCATTTATAATACCTAGATATGTTTTAAAATGCAATTTAAAGCATTTTTGGTTTTGATCATAGTAGGCTATTTTCAAAAAAAAAATCGATTTTTTATCTTTACAAGCATTCTTTATCATTTATAATACCTATTAAGTTTTAAAATGCAATTTAAAGCATTTTTGGTTTTGATCATAGTAGGCTATTTTCAAAAAAAAATCGATTTTATATCTATATTAGCATTTTTATCATTTATAATACCTAGATATGTTTTAAAATGCAATTTAAAGCATTTTTGGTTTCGATCATAGTAGGCTTTTTTCAAAAAAAAATCGATTTTTTATCTTTACTAGCATTCTTTATCATTTATAATACCTAGATATGTTTTAAAATGCAATTTAAAGCATTTTTGGTTTTGATCATAGTAGGCTATTTTCAAAAAAAAAAATCGATTTTTTATCTTTACTAGCATTCTTTATCATTTATTATACCTAGATATGTTTTAAAATGCAATTTAAAGCATTTTTGGTTTCGATCATAGTAGGCTTTTTTCAAAAAAAATATCGATTTTATATCTATATTAGCATTTTTATCATTTATAATACCTAGATATGTTTTAAAATGCAATTTAAAGCATTTTTGGTTTTGATCATAGTAGGTTATTTTAAAAAAAAATTCGATTTTTTATCTTTACTAGCATTTTTTATCATTTATAATACCTAGACATGTTTTAAAATGCAATTTAAAGCATTTTTGGTTTTGATCATAGTAGGTTATTTTTAAAAAAAATTCGATTTTTTATCTTTACTAGCATTCTTTATCATTTATAATACCTAGATATGTTTTAAAATGCAATTTAAAGCATTTTTGGTTTTAATCATAGTAGGCTATTTTCAAAAAAAAAAAATCGATTTTTTATCTTTACTAGCATTCTTTATCATTTATTATACCTAGATATGTTTTAAAATGCAATTTAAAGCATTTTTGGTTTTGATCATAGTAGGTTATTTTCAAAAAAAATTCGATTTTTTATCTTTACTAGCATTTTTTATCATTTATAATACCTAGACATGTTTTAAAATGCAATTTAAAGCATTTTTGGTTTCGATCATAGTAAGCTATTTTCAAAAAAAAAATCGATTTTATATCTATATTAGCATTTTTATCATTTATAGTACCTAGATATGTTTTAAAATGCAATTTAAAGCATTTTTGGTTTCGATCATAGTAGGCTCTTTTCAGTATAATATTCTCTTTTAGTATAATATTTCAAACAAATTAAAATTTTATATCATTGACTTTGGATTTTTTTCCCATATAAAAAAGTTTTACATAAATTGTACTATAATTAAGCATTTTTGTGGTTGCAAAGTATTAAAGTATTAAAGTATTGTATTTTCACCGAGAATACGTGTGCATAATTAATTTGGGCTCGATTGGAGCAGTAGAAGTGATCGAAAAATCGAGTACAAGATTTGACGCGAATATACAGAGTGAGTTAAATAAAAGCGTGTAACGTGTAAAAAGAACATTTTATGTAGAAAAATTACAGAAGTCCTCGTGTTACTGATCGAGGGACTTAAGCGCATTTTTGTTTTAGCGATCAGTATTTGATTATCTATTTATTTTGAGTTCATTTACAGATCATTAGAAGATTAGAAGATCATTGATTTTAGTGCAATTAGCAAATAATTACAATGAATGCTTATATAGATAAGCTTTATTATTTAACGGTCAATAAATAATTTGAAATTTTCCCGCTAAAAGTTGCATTACGAAAACATTAGCAATAGTATAATTAATATTTTGTAGAAACGAATTTCCATATAGAAAAGTTTATCATATTCAAATTTTGTAACGGTCGTATGCTTTGAAAGTATCTTGCCAAAAGTTACAGTAAAATCATTAATTATAGTATAAATAACAGTCTGTTGCAAAAAATTTTCATTTAAAAAGGCTTCGTAATTCAACGGTTTTTTGAGATTCAAAAATTTTTAACGTTAGAAATAAATTCGAATTTCTAAACGCTCTCATCACTTGTTTTTTCATATGAAATATAAAAATCATTAATTATAGGACAAAAAGACTTTTTCAAGACTTTTAAATGCGTTTCCCGAAAATAAAACAATGGATCTGAGCTAATAAAACAAACTAGAACTCTGTACAATGTCTAGTTAAAAAGTTTTTCTCCGCCCGAATGAACAGACATAGTGAGATATTAAGCTACCTTTTCGAAACAAGTTTCAAAAATGCGCTAAAAAGGTACAAAGAAGAAGCACTGATGACGATAAAATTTCATCAAAAACAAATTACCGTTGAAAACTGCTTCAGAATGAGATGTTGTGATTATTTCTGTATTTCATACAAAAAGGCACTGATTGGAGAGTGAAAGTGACCCCTCGTGCTTAGCTCTCTATCTTGAAGCTACTTAATCAAATTTAGTTTAATTTTCTTGCTTCTTGAATCTTATCTTCTCCCCCTCTCACACTACAGACAGACAAGCTTAATAAATTCATGTCATAATTTACCTGTCTCATTGCTGTTAAGAATCCTTGTGGATTAAAGAAGCCTGTCATCCAAAATACCTGCATAGCAAATTATATTTATTAGTACACAACAACCCACTCACACAAAATAGATATGACGTAATAAAAATATCATACTTTTGGCCTGTCGTGTGCACACCAAATGCGGAACTGTGAATTTCGTTCAAGTAGCTCCGTGTACCAGAATCCCAATGTTGTTGATTCCCAAGAGATCTAGATCAAGGAGAAAAGTTTATTATAATAAGAATGTAAATTTGTGGCATAACTACAACTGTAAAGGAATAAATCATACAACTTTTCATAGCTTTGCAGATGTAATGGTGCTACAGGCGCGTGTCTTTTTGATAAAATTAAAATTATATTGAAAGGGTTTTCTTGAAAATTTATTAAATAATAACAAACATTAAGCTTGTGACCAATTCATCGTAATTGAATAACTGCTTTGAATTTAATTGGATAATAGCGAATAACTGCTTATTTGGTTGAATAAACATTATGTCCTCATGTGTTATTCACTTATTTATTAAATGCCGCAATACTATGTGCTTTTATGACACTTAAAAAGCATTTCCTTTTAAGACTTTTCACAAAAATATGCAACGCAAAAAAATCAAGTTTTTTCACATTAATAGAATCAAAATACGCATTACGATTATCCTTAATAATTTTAACAAAAATTCATAATTTTTATCCCCAACTAAGGTACGCAAATATCATCCATATCATGTTTATACAAAGTGTATATAAGGAAATATTTCTACTGAAAAAAATTTCAAATATTCTCTGATTCAGATGATATTTACAGCCCTCAAGCAAGGACTTTTCTAGCTACCTCATCATGATATTAGTAATAACACTGTTCAAACATTTATGTAGTCAATGTCTCTTACCTTTTGCCATCGTTCCGGTATGCGAGCATCATACATAGCATCTAGTGAATCTCGTAAATATTGACTCATTACAATCGTACCATCAATAGCTAACTTTAAATCTGTTAGATTTGTATAAACTGTCTTGATGACTCGCTGCATTCGATCGACTTCTTGTCTATTCATCGACAGATGTGAATAGTTATAAAATTAATGAAGTCACGATTACAAAGGAAAAATGAATCATACCGTAAGAAAATATTCATTGGTAAAAAGGCTCCCATTCGTGCCAATGATTCCTTCACTTCAAATGCATTGTATTGCTGTGGAAGCTTTCTCAACCTACGCGGAATTACAAAGGTGAAATGTTAATTAAGGGTTGTTAATCAATGATATCAATAAGTTAAAAAAGGAAGAGTTCAGCATCTGAGACTGGCTTAAAAGCCCTGCAATGTGTCAGACCTCTTCTTATGTGAGGTTAGAACAGCTAAGACACTTATAGCACGGCACAGGTACTTCATCACTAAACAAACCCCTAATATCCATAAAACCCAATAAATTCACAATTCTTACATATCATCCGCCAGTTGATATACAACAGTTTCACGAGATTCACCGCTACCGCCTCCACTCTCTTTTGGCTGCACACTCAAAATCGTATCCAATATTCCTTTTGCAGTATTAATTTGAAACGTGATATCAGCATTACCGTGCAATCCAAAAACTTCAGGTGTATCATTTGGAGGAAGTGATGCTATATAATCTACATAGTGCTGAATGTTTTTGGTAACAGGAACTTTATAGTTTCTATAAAACTCAAAATTAGACGTTAACAATTGATCGCAGAACCAAACAGCACAGAATGTTGTGAGTAAGCGCTTATCAAAGTCATCTGTAACACGTCCTCCGTACTGAACTTCACCAATCATGTAGCAGATTGTTTGCCATGACACGCCTTTCTTTGGATCCATTTCGTCAAGGTGATTTTGGATGAATGCTACGCTTGCGGCAAAATCTGCTTGATTAAATTCATAACCAACATTCCAACCAAGTGGACCAAATTTTCTTCTTTCCTGTACAACTGTATGAAGGAAAGCAACCGTATAAAGAAGCGGTGGCCATTGAAATGCTGATGTATAGTCCAAATAGTCTTGTGTAAATGTTTGATATGTTCGCTTCAAGCTCGCTCTGATGCCTTGCGGTGGTTCATTGGTGAATTTAATTGCAAGCTGTAGAAGACCAATTGGGAATTCTTGATGAACTTCGGTCGTTACCCAGAGACGGAATGTATCTTGAACATGCTCGGTTTCAATCAATATGTCAATGATTTCAGCACAGAAATTTAAGGAAAGGTGAACATTCTGTAGCAAAACCCATCCACCTATAAAGTCATAAAACCAACCGGCCTGTTTCACTAAAGTGGATTATCCTCGATTTCGGATTATCCACTTCAGTTTTTTGGAAATATCTCCAGACGTTTAAGGTTATTAAGAAATCTAATGTGTGATCTAGTTAGAGTATTTTGCTACTTAAATTAACATAAACTTAGAATTTTTATATCTTCATTAGTTTGAGAATTATAGCCAAAATCGAAGTTAATCTAGTAGATTTGGCTAGAAATTTGAATAATTAATACTTCTTAACGAAAAGCAAAAGTTTAAAGTGTACAGAAATTTCAGGCATAGTTCACTCTATTATAATCCAAAATTAGAAATACCACACCTCCCATAAAGTTTAAGATATTTACAAAAAACTGAAGTGGATAATCCGAAATCGAGGATAATCCACTTTAGTGAAACAGGCCAAACAATTTTATAATGATTCAATTATTCTTCAAATGCCTCCACCTACCTGTTGCCATACATTCCGTCATCATTTTGCGAGCATGATATTCTTGCCCCTGACCCATTGAAACAGCCCGTATTGCTGTATAAACGAAAAAAATATGAAAATTTTCATGAATGGAACTTTATGCTGTATCGAATCGCTCAATAAAACGATTTTCATCGATTTCCATTTTCACTTCCATTCATGAAAACTTACGGATATTTTTCAATTTAGCCAGTGCTATGATTTGATTTGTTGGATCAGAACCGATGGAGAGTATACAAACTAATGGAGTTCTCGGCTCTGATTCTTCCCAAGTTTGCTCTAAATCTAAAATATGCGTTTCGCTGTATTCTGGTCCAAGTGATTCTAATTAAGATAATTGAGAATTATTGTTTATCCTTTAAATATGGATTTTGATGCTTTACCTTCGATGTACTTTCTAGCTTGCGATATTGTCCTATCCGGACTCCAACTTCTAATCAAGACTAATTTGCGGAAAACATCGAGTTGATTATAGCCACATGGGATTTCCTCTTTTTCAGGTCTCTCCATCTCGTACCAAATCTTCCATTCCCTCTCGTTATTTTCAATCTTCTTTAAAATATCAACAAATGGCTTTAATTTTGATATTTCAACAAGATTCAACCACGTTATGTCGAGAATCCATTTAAATGGCTTAGGAGTGACAGCATTCAAGTCCAACGACGCACCTCCTTTAATGAAACTCATGAATTCTGAATGATTTATTACTCCTTTATGATAATCAATTTTTATTGCCAACATCAGTGTAAACAAGAGTTTATGACGTTCATACAAGCTACGGCTTGTAAATGCCCAGACTTCGTATGTCAAATAACGCAATATGATATTGATACGCTCCTCAGTTATATTGCTTCGGGCTGATTTTGTAATGGAATTATCGAAAATGTTAAGGAACTGTTTCAACGAATTTTGATACATAATATTAACATTGCTCATTTCAACAATCAAAAAGTATAGAATGGAACCACGTGTTGCTACCGCACGATATTCCTCACGAGCTTTCATAATTTTCTTCTCAGTAATTTCTGAGATTTGTAATTTTTGATTTACGTCTTCTGCTGTTGTTTTCGTCTCACGAAGCACTTCAATTAAAGCTTCATCGTCAACAAGTGAACCTTCTGTTGATGTTAAACGACACAATAAATTTGCTTCCAATTCCTTCATCGTCCTTTGATTTTTCATTACACTCTCAAATAGACTTACACGCTCTGATTCCAGTTCCGATTTCTCCATTAAAATTACACGACCCAATAACTGATCTTCTAGACCACGCATCGTAACTGTAAAGTCAATTATTGATGCCTTTGCACTTATCTCAGGACTAAACATTGGATTGGGTAGTTTTGTTGTGATATAAATCATAAAACCAGGCATAACATCACACTCTTTATCACCAACAAGTACTTTCTCTATTGAACCAGACTTAATGAAATTTTTCTCAAGCACATTATCAATAACAGGATCTAATTCGACCCCCACATCTTCAATCAATAATGGACGACCGAGTGACAAGCTATCTTCTAAATGTGTACGGAAATATTTGTGATTAAGTGATGTTGTTTGCAATTCATTTTGATCTTCTTTCGTCTTTATCCAAATCTTTCCTTGTCCTTGCGGGTCTATCAGCAAGGGATAACTGCTGCTTTTGGTAACAATCAAGGCATTTTGTACAGATAATTCGTCATTCGGAAGACCCTGAAGTGTCCATTCTGAAATTGTTGCGTTGTCAACAAGCATGCTAATTATATTTATATTCATCGTGTACGGTATCTTCTTATCTTTTAATAGCTGCATCCAAAATTTCATTAGATTTGCTCGATAATCTTGATTATAGCTATTAGTAGGAAATATTTTGGTATTATTAATACTGTCACTAAGAGTCAGTGAGTCATATAAAGTATCAGTGATGTACTAAGGACTTATCTACTTCCTGATTAGATTCTCAAAATTTACTTACGGTCCACAATAAGACAAAAATCCAGTTGCAAGCAAAACGTCACCAACAAGTCGTCCAATTTGTTCCTTAAACTCCTTACTCTGTTGTGTCCATCGAATCTTCTCACCAGCTAAGCCATTAATCAATGCGGTTGCAGCATTCATTTTTCTTAAACACACATTCGCAGCGTCCGTTAACCTTTGCTTCTCCCTCACAGCAGCATCATAGCATTCTTTGACCTGCTGTAAAGCTTGTTCACGTTCACGTAATTGACTTTCCGCACCTGCTAAGTCTTCCATCGCAACCTGATTGTTTTGATTTGTTGTGATTAATAATTTTAGAAAAAGTTTTTGCGGGTCGTGAACAAATGATGGATATCAGATGGGATATTAAGACTTTGATCTTACAAAAAATCTATTAAGGACAGCAGAGCTCCTATCCTCATCTATCAGACATCATTTGTGAACGACTCCAGGAAAATTATTTACCCTCAATCGAGCTTCTTGCATGGTGAGATTTGCTTTTAATGGCAAAACTTCCTTATTTACACCATGAAAAAATGCCATAGCTTTAGTCCATGACAAAAGACCAGCAACGTCACCACAAACCCTCCTTGCTGTATCCATATTATAATCCTCCATCCTAAAGTACGGCTGTAAATGCTCAATCATCTCTTCGTTAATTGAATCTTTTGGATAATTTTGTAATTGAAGTAAGAATGTTGTCGATGCCATCATCTTCAAACTCTCAGCCCAACTTGGTTTGGGTGATGGTGCTGTGGATGGAAAAATTATACAAAATTATGCAAATGATTATTCGAGATTAAATGATTTACATACCGGCCGTATCAGGCATTGTTGGATGAAGCTTTCTTTGGAAGAGAATTAATACAGAATCCATAATTCGCATAATCAAGTGCGGTGGACGACCCAATTTTCTAACGGTTGCAATGTGAGCTGGCTTAATTGTGTTAAGAGCATTTTCTGCTTCCTCTAGTGCTGGTTTTGCTGCTTCCAATTTTTCCTCAGCCAACGCTTTCTCTACGGCAATATTGGCAACAAGAATCTCTGCTTTTTCCTTCACAATCATGACCTGATTTTTAACAGCTTCTGCTTGTGAGGCACGTTCTGTCACCTCAATTAAGACTCGCTCGGATTTAAGAGATGCTTCTGCTAATTCTAATTCCATAACTGCTAAATCCTTTTTCAAAACTTCCACAGATTCTGATGCTTCTGCTAGCTTCTCTAAACCAGTGTCCATTTTTTCAGCTCCTTCACATAACTCACTGTGCTTCATGCTGTAAATATTTTTATATCCAGCAATAAAATTTAAATATGATTTTGGTGTGACATGTGTTGCTCGGCGGAATCGATGGAAATAGTCAACTGATGTGGCTGATACTCCATCCTGAATAGTACCTAATGCTCTTACTAATTCTGTTTTAACTTCTGGTGCACATTCAATTTCATATGAAGTCAAGAAATGTTCAGCGACCATAATTAATGCATCTCTCGGCCATGGTTGGAACCAATCAATAATGCAACCGCTAATTAATGCAGGAAACTTGACAATCCTACGACGGAATGTTTCTCCAACGGGAGAGAAGCAGAAAACAACATGAAGATTATGGCATGTACGCTGTAGGAAATATTCCATGACTGTCTCTTGATTTATAGTCCGCTTTTGATTTTCTCGCTTCATTACAGGCGTTAATTCTGATATTATTTCCTGTTGCTCATCACGATTAAATAAATTAGATATGACACCGGATGAAAGAATGTTATTCAAATATTCGAGGAAAATCTCTTCCTTCACATCGAGATCTTGGAATATGAAAGTCGTTCCTTTACCTTGTACACCACAAGTACGATATAAAAGTTTCAAGTCTTCGAGGAAATTTGCAACATTATAAGAGCGGGTCAAACTTATTTGGAATGTCTTATATCCAGCAATAAATGATGCTAGTTTCGTTAAACTTTGCTTACCACTGCCTCCTACACCGACAAGCATACAATTTCCTCTCGGATGTCTTATGACTCGAGATATTTTGACAAGATGAAGCATAGCATCTGGGAAAAATACAAGATCCATTCCAACGCCACGAACCATTTCATTAAATTGGACCAAGAACATTTTTAATCTGTCTCGAAGCATCTCAATATCTGTGACTGGTTCATAAACTTTTGGCAATTCCATATCAGCTTCTTCGCCTTCTTCACCTGTCGGTTCTGGTGCGTCACGCATAAAATCAACAAAAACTGGACTTGGACCAAACATTGGTTCATATGACTCGCCAAGGTCCTTTACTGCTATGGCTTTTAATTCTCCTGAGAACCATTTATAGTCTGCAACTGTCGTAAATCGATCAGCAAACACACGCGTGCATTCATTCTTCCACAATGAGATGAGATACTGCTCATTCGTAATAACTGTTGATAGTGTTCCAATCATACCTTGCCATATCCTTGACAGATCACGTAAACTAAAGATATAATGGAATTTAGCTGGTGTTGGAAGCAATTTTTCTCGTGTTGCCTGCCACAATAATCGAGTAAGTGGAATTAATTTTCTAACAAGCTTACGAACTTCACTTGTAAATCCACGCTTCGAGTTATAATGACCTTCCCCAATCGTTCTGAATATCGTATCAATTGATGTGTCGTCAGGGACATTACAGTTAAATATGCAAAATTGTCGTTTCAATCTCGATGGTATATCATTTCGCCCACCACCAGGTAATCCCATAGCAGCAATAAATTGTAAATCAACAATATTTGTAAAGTCACCAGGCTTTTCTAAATTAAAGAATCCCTTCATGTCCATCGTTTGTCGTACAATTTCATTTGTAACTTGATCTCCCCATTCATTGATTTGCGGTAAATTTATGTCGTCGATAAAAACAATTAGCTTTTTACCACCCGCTGGTCCAAAAGTATTTCCCAACCGCTTGTCAATATAACTTTCTATAGTCTTCTGGAACTGAAAGGGACTTGTTGCTGACGAAAAGTTGAACGAACGTACCATGTGCGTATCAGGATTTTGCTTCTTCATAAAGTTTTTAATCATGATAGTTTTAGCTGTTCCTTGCTCACCAATTAACAGCACTGCTCGTTCTTGATTAGCAACAGTTCCAATTAAATACTCAATTCGTGCATTGTCGATAATTGGTACGAGAATTGATGAATATTCTGGTGTTGATGTTTCTGGGTAGACATAAGCTGACACAAGATTTTTCCATGGCTCCCAAGCTCCAATTCCTGACACAAAGAAGTCAAAAATTGTACCATCAGGCACTTCAGGATCTTTTGGATAGTCATAGCTCTTAAACTTCTTTCTCATAAATGTATCCATTTTAATCCTGTCATTTGAATTTAAAAATGCTCCAAGTGCCCATGCCATTGAGAAAATAAAAAGACGATGAAGATGTTCGGGACTTGCTACTTCAGTTTTCGATTGTGCTTCATCTTCCTCAAGTAAATCATCTGAATGGTAATTCAACAAAGAAAATAAAGAGAAAGAGAAAAAATTCCAAAAACAGTCAATGGTTCCTTAACAAAGTTTTCATGGGTACTCTAAGTTCATCTAGCATGAACACATATAGTGCACAAGATACAGAAATATGTACATGAATAACATTAAGCTTCTTTTAAACAAAGTGATGAGTTTAATGGTGATGGAAATTTTTTATTGATTTATGGACGTGTTAAGTAGAAACAGCTTATGGTAAAGTTCAAAAATAATTTAAAGTCAGCAAGGGGTTGTTCATAAGTGACGTCTATCAAAATTTATATTTTTTTAAACACTATTTGTCTGTTCTATAACTGTTTATTGGTTTAGTGACATAATTTTCCTCTTCTCGATGTGCACAAAATATTAGACGTCACTTATAAACAACCCCAAGCCCCAAAAATATTTTTTTAACCATAAGTTTTTCACCTCTCGTGACTTTTTTTGCAATTTTGTTTTTTCATAAGTGCAAAAAGTATTTGAACAGATTTTTTCACGAATTATCATGAATAAGACACCTACGAATGAGAATACGCTGTTCTAAAACACCTGTTACATGCCAATTGAAAGAAAAATGTTGAACAAGACAATTTTATATTATAAAAAATTACACATACATAGAGTATAAAGATAATATGATGAACAATTATGATGAGAGAATAAAAAGGAAAGAGCACAAAAAAGAACATTTTTTTCTCACCTTCTGTGCTTCCGGCAATAGACTGTGTAGCGGCTTGTTCAATATCTTTTGAGTACGGTATTAAACCGTCAAGAACGAACAAGACTTGTTGAATGATGTTACATTGCAAGATTTCCATCATGAATTCACAATTTTGGGTACCCCAAGTAAAAATAGCCAAGAATGACTGCTCAAAGAGTTCTGAAAATACCTGCTTCTCGCGGTTTGTTCGTCCTTTAAGCCATGCAGCAAGAACTGAGAAAGAAAAAATATTAGAAAATTCTGCAAACTTAAAAAAGTTTACGAATCTTTACTTGGCTTCCAGTCTAGACCACTCGAAGACATATAGACCATTCCATTACGACTGACTGTAGCTGGAGATGCATTGTCAATGTTGTGTGGTTCAAAAATAATTTTACAATGCGGTGACATAGCCAATCGATCACCATTAGCCAATGTCAATGTCTTATTATCATCCAAGACTGAATTTAAATTCTCAATCCAAATACTATCGACTGGGCCATCAAGAACAAGCCATATATTCTCCAACTTCTTCGTCTTTAATGTTTTTCGCCACATCGCTGAAAATATTCCATCCGTCCAATCATTAGTTGCCACATCTAATTTACCAAACATTTGTGCTGCTGTAATGGATTTTGGATTCATTCTCATTTCTTTATGCGTCTTTCCTGTCTCTGTTAGTGCCTTCATTAGCACATGAATACATTTTGTTTTTCCGGCTCCAGAAGGTCCGAGGACCATTATACCGTGACGCACTTTTTGTGTTTCATACAACTGAATAAGTTTAAGTGTCCATTGAGGATGATTTATGAGACCAGCTTCTTGAATTTGGTGATCGATTGCCGTCTCTAATTCTGCATATGTGGTCTTCTCTAAACTTTGATTAGGAAACAGATCACTGACCAATGACATGAAAAGCGGTTCATCTTCGTCAATTAATTTTGAAAGATTCATATCTCTCAACACACGCATGACAATGGTGCTCTCACTATCTTTACAGTTTAATCTTTTTGCGGTTCCCAAAGTTCTCAAAACTGACAAAATGTTACGTAAACCAAAATCATAGTGAACTTGCTTTGTCAGCTGCTCCTCACAAAGTTTATAAAGTGTGTAGAACTTTCTAGCGAGTGTAATGTTCTCCAAGAAGCCGCAAGAAGCAAGCTTTACACGAATAATAATCTGTCGATCGGGTACCATCATCGCGACTGTTCTAAATTGGATTTTCAGATTCTCAGGCAATTCCTTTCTTCCAGCGTAACCGGGATTCATCTAAAGGATTATCATCTTAGCATCGTTATTATAATATTTATTCATTGTAGCACACAGAGGTGCTGTATTGATGCTTTTATGATTTTCAAATGTTCATACATCTTGAACAAGTTTTGGACAACTTAGACATCAACATCAACAACTCTGCTAGCACATTCACTTACCGTAATAAAAATACCAAACTCAGGATTTAAATCAATTGTGTCACCGTCAGTAAAAATAAATGTTTTTTTCTTATCCTTCTTCGCTGTGAGTACAACAGCAACCTGTTGAGCAGCAACCGAAAGAACGGGAAGCTCAATACGATTGAACTCATCAAAGCATCCCCAAGTACCAGATTGCGCTAATCCTTTGTAAATTCTTGGGTGAAAAGAGAATCAAAAGAAAGTTAATTTCATTAGAAGCGCCAATTAATATTAATAAAAAGCTTGAGGTGGCTTTTGTGATGCTGTGACGTTTACACAGCAATTAATTGGAGCAGCTTTACCTTCCCAAGCCTCTGTAATCCATTTGATCAGAGCAATTGAAGACAACAACATATTTTCCTAATGTTTTGCCCATATCCTTCACCGTTTCAGTCTTGCCTGTACCAGCAGGTCTTTAAATAAAGGAAATGTCTCATATTGGTTATTAAAATGAATGTAAATTGTATCTTACCCGCAAGGAGCACCACCCATACAAAGTGCAAGTGCTTGTGCAAGTGTAATGTAACATCGATCTGTAAGAGGAGTAATAACAAGTCTCTCAGTACATCCAAGATACTCATTCTGATATGTGAACGTGACATCAGTGACACTCATAAATGTTTTGTCCAAATCGTCTTTGAAATAGAAACGACATTGCTTGAGCCATTCGAAATCATTTGATGACCTAATGTTCATACGACATAGTATATCAAATATATCACGTTGATGTACATGAATTGTAATAAGTGTTTCAAACTTAATCCTATCCATTTTTGTTATGTCTTTAGTTGTTTGGTCAATGAGAGTGTTAAGAAGTTCCAAAAATTTATTATTAGTCTCTGACATAATTTTCTTCTCATGACGAGATTGTGTAAGTGCAACTTCACTATCGCGTGTCCATATCATTTGAATACCAAGTATTCCCACTTGTGCTGGCATCTTATCTAAAAAGACTAAAATTTGTACATTCGGATCATTGATTTGTGAATTTGCTTGTCGTATAATCGAGTGTAAAGATGTCTGTGATGATTGAAGTAATGATGTTAACCACGTCTCAACAGATCCCTCAGCACGAATTGCTCGGTCTAAAGGAATTGATTCACCCTCGGATGATATTATAGCAACCATTTTGTTATACTCAACGTCATGAAATTTAACATAGCGGGTATTATCAAAAATTGACAATAAATGATTCTGAATTGTATGCGGATCTGATGCCTGACCTAAAATTTCCAATAATGCCGGATCAGATACGAAAAAGAAGCGTGGAAACATCATTCTCTTCTTCTCCAAATAACCACTGAGTGACTTTTGACACAACTCAAGTTGTTCTTGTAAATGCGGCAATAATTGCTTTAATAAATCATCACCGACACAACATGCAATCACGCCAGGTGTCTCATGTGCTCTCTGCATAATTTTCTGCCACGATTTATCGATTTTCGAGAATCTTTTTGCTTCTTTCGGCAGTTGCTTTGCAATATCACCGCCAACAAATACAGCCTCAAGATACACCCACATGTTCTGTACGAGAAGCCATCTTTCAAGGATATCATTTGAATTTGATAAATCATACACCCATTGTTGGATTTGCTTCCTAAATGGTGCGTTGTAACGATTAGAAAGCAATGAACCGAGAACCATCAAGCTGTCTTCTAATTGTCCTATTGTTTCTGCTGTTGTGTCACCACGAAGCAATAATTCACCGCGATTATTGAATGACATGAAGCTTAGCTCATGTCCCGACCACTCATTCGTTACTTGTTTTAATTTCGCTTCAATATCCTTCTCCTTCATAGCTGAGATACAAATATCTTCAATATCTTCTTTGTGCTTTAATAAAGGTGCATCTAAGATGTGCTTTAATGTGAATCCATCACTATCAAATTCGAATGTATATTTTGTGACTTCCATAATTCGTTGCCAATGACGTGGTTTCATCGCCTTATTTGCCATCAATTCAAGTAATGGACACATGTCATTAAAATCATCAATGGTTCTCTTGAGAGCATGAAAGGCTGGCCATTCCTTGAGTGCTTTTGGTAATTTTCTGCAACGATTTTGGAATTCCATAAGTTCATTATTAATTTCCTCAATATCAACATCACCCCATGCGATATCGTAGTAGCTAGAAACTCTATCGATGACGTCATTATAGAGCTTATAAAGTTTCTGTAGCAAATTAAGTTCTTTCTTAATTTGTGCAAGTTCTGGATAATCAGTTTGTGGTAAACCGAACAGCTCCTCACCATTCTGAAACAATTGTAGTCGACGCCACATTCCATCGAATCGGTTTTGGAAGAGAATAAGTCGATCGGAAGCTTCACGCGGTGTCAAGCCAGGCTGCATCGGACCAGCATTATTATATTCATTGACGTAATCGATTTTCTCATTTCTAAATCTATCCAAATTGGTTGTGAGTTCTTCTTGAAAGACTGGCTGCATTTCAAGCAATTTACAGTGGGTGTCAAGCGCACGATTCTTCAATTTATACCAAGTATCTCTCAAGTTATCAACACGTTCCGTATGCTCCTTTTCAATCGGAATTTCATATTTTGCCAATGTGTTGAATGCCTCCTCAATTGGATCAATTTTTAATTCCATATCAACTTCTTGGTCACGAATTTTACCCAATGTATCCATGACCATTCTGACGTCATCAAGATCTCTTACAGGTCTATCAAGCTTCCTATCCATCTCATTGATAACAGCATAAACATAATCCATTTCTCTTTTGTATTTCTTTTTCATTGCTTGACCAATTTTATGCTTAAAAGCTTTTACTTCAATATTGAGACCGAATTTCAATTTCTCTGTTGACAGTGCTACGCATGATTGACCAAAAAATTCCATATCCGGTTCTACAGATAAATTTGCATCAAGCTCTGTTAAATATCGGAGATTTGTTTCGAATTCAGGAAGTGTATATTCCAATAATTGACGTATGGTTTTGTCATTCTTCCATAGAAATTGATAAGGCTTCCATTTTTTGACAAACTCTTGAATCTCACTTTTTAGATTCTTAGTGCATTGTGATAAAAGTGAGAGAGTTTTGACAACTTCCTTGTTATCCATCACATAAGTGTAGAAACTTTTTGCCATATGAGGCATTTGTGGTCGTTGTTCAGATAATACACGATACACACGTCGTCTATTAGCACGCTCATTAGCAACAGCAGCGCGTGGACCTTTGGGATTAATTTGTGTCGTACATCGATCATCGTCTCTACCAGAATTCCATTGTGCAACACCTTTTGATACACCAACAATGTTCTTGCCAGCCTGTGCTAAAGCTTCTTGCAATTCATCCAAACTTGGACGAATGGCAATTGTTGGAATCATAAGGACGGCATTTAATATAAATATTGGTTTCTGAGATACTTCATGCTCATTGCTTTCTAATATAAATCGCCTACGAAGGAGATCCAATGAAGCACGAGTAACCTTTATAAGAACATCAATAACCTTCCGACTATAATAACGTCTCATTTCATGAATTGCATTAAAAACCATTTCCGTAAGTCCTTTGGGTAATCCACCTTCATAAGAAGTAAATAATGACAACGGATTCTCGAAACACGTATATAATAAACTCCAATCTTGCTGTTGATTCGATGTTCCCGTGTCATTGTCATTTGTTGGTGTTTCTGTTGCTTGCAATCTCAATTCTTCCTCACCAAATAAGTCATTTTCCGGTCCAATCATATTTCTGAATATGACACTAGCTTTTTGCACCAAATCAAGCACTTCCTCGACTGCTTCTTCGACCATTTGACTCTTTCTATTTAATTCAATTGCAGCAGCACGACAAGCATCTTCATTTTTATCCAAAAACTTCTGTACCGTCCACAATTCATCGATTGGAAGTGTTTGTAATGAAATTTCCTGCATTGAATTCAATACAAAGAGAATTCGATTTGTGTAAATATCATGCACACGTTGCACAAGTATATCAAAGGTATTTATAGCTTGCTTGCATTGTTCATAAAATTCCATCCAACGTGAATTCGTCCACTATGGAAAGTTTTGTACAAAAAAGAGAGAGAATAAAGCTTAAATTAATGATGCTTAGAATTTTACTATCCATTTCCTACATTTATATGCTTTAATCCTGGTCGAAGCATTGTTGTTAAGCGCACGAGCTGCGGTAAAAAAAGTGGTCGGACTTCATGAATTACAGATTTGGTAACACGAAAGTACAGCTTAATTAATTCCTGCAGCAGACAAAGTAAAATATTAAAATAATTATTTCAACAGACAAAAAGTTGTTAATTAAAGTGGTTTTCGCATTGACGAAAGGATGAAAAAGTTTAAAAGGAAGGAAGAAGTAAAGTTAACTTTTAGACTTCCGTACTTAAAGAGAGATAAAAATTTAATTCTCAGCAAATCGTTCCTTAACCGCTCAAGTCAATAGCCTCGTTTTGCAGACCAGCAAATTAAAATTTTTACTGAAGATAATTCATAAAATAGAGGAAATTGCATTGAATGTCTATCATTTTGAGGAGATGAGAAACGGTCTGTAGCGATTACCAACCAAAGAGTTCCCACTTATTTGTAGACATAATTTACAAAGGAGCCCCAAAAAGATGGATTTAACTTCCTTAAATGACTGATAAATTTTAGCATAATTAGCATGTTCTCATGCCTTAAAATGTCAACTTTAAGTTATCCTTTCATCAATCATTATCCTCAACACAGAAGTTCATTCTTACTTACGTTCATAGAATCCGTAATTGTATCAAAGTGATGTTGCTTACATAACAATGTTGTAGCTACAATAGGCAGGTCATGGGTGCTCATTTTTGCTAAACATTTTGCCTCTTTAATTAACAATGGAATTGTTGGATGGAGGTTGACAACTAATCTATCATTTTGTATTGCCAGAACAGGCTGTACAAGACAAGCATCGGCTATAGAAACATCCTGTGAAAGCCATAATTGTGTCATTTCCTGCTCGTACTCAGCAATATATGTGTTTGCATAATTATATCGATTTTCTAAGTCTTTACTTATTGGATGATTTGCAAGTACTGGATGTGATGAAATATTTGTAATAAGTTCTTTAAGGTGCGATAATAAGCTTCTACACCATTTAATTCTACCAGATATTGGTGGTAGGCATCGTTCTAGCGGTGGATCATCACGTTGCTTCTTAAACAACTTTAAAATTCTGTCAAGTTCCTTCTCACAATATTTCAATATCCTCTCATATTTATCATTCATTGTGCTTATTGGAATCTTTGCGCTGACTTTTTCAAAACGTATCAAAAACCGGATACCTTGCGGTGTTTCCCAAACAGAATCGAAATTATTTTCAATCATTGATGCTATTGATTCTTTTAACATATTTGTTTTGGACATAAACAAGTCAAAATCTTCATTAAATTCTAAATTACGGTGATCTAAATAATCATATTTCTTAACTAAAACTGCAACTTTTGCTTCCTCAAATGTCGCCATAGCTTCTTCTAATGCTTCGCCTAAAAGTAAGCCTTCAAGTCGTCTCTCGAAAAGATGGTTGTAATCCTCAATTAAATTAAACATTGAAATGATTTTTGATAGACGATCACAAAAAGTGTCAAACTTTCCAAAAACAAAGTTCTCGCTGAATGCGAATGGCGCTTGATCAGGCAAAAATGGTTGCGATCTAACAGTGTAGTAAGTCTCTCTATAAATGTGATTTAATTTTAGACAATTGGTAAGTTTTGTGCGAACTAAGTTGCGATCCTGCGACCAAATATTTTCCATTCCACGACATGTAATGTACGACTTACATGTCTCAATCATCTGATTTGTTATCTTAACCATAAGTGTTGATGTACGTTCAGAATTATTGTAGAATTGTGAAACAGAGTAAATTAAACGAACTGTCTGTAGCAAGCTTAAAATGCTATCTTGCATCGTGACAGGGTCATCCAAATAGAGTGAGTGACAACATGACTCCATAGCCTGAATGAATTTTGCATTGTCACGTGCCTCATTATAACAGAATGTAATTTTCTTATCAGTTTCTTTCCAGTTCTTAACCATTCTCGATCCGTTGACGGTAAGACAAAAGAGTGTCCATTGAACCTCGCGTTCTTGAAGGTATGAGAGAAGTTGCGAGAATTGAGCACCTCTACGCTTCCAATACTCCAATTCATCTTGTGGACCGCTGGAATCATTTTCACGACGCAATTGTTCACTTTCCATTAAAATCTTTGAGATGTTTTTAATCCAATTTGTCACTCGCTCCTCCAATTCGGAAACAATTTCCGCATCTTTGGACATATCCTTTACATCAGCAACACTTTCTGCTTTTGAAACAATCACCTTTCCATCATCAAAGATGTTATTTTTGGTACAGACTTGTTCACAAACACGCAATGCACTACAGAAACTACGTAAGCCGGGAAGCAGCTGCTGCTTAATCAAATTACAATTCATCTCTTCATCCTCATTCTCGATGTTCGGAAAGGCCAGTGCCTGCATAAAAACAAATTCTACAATCCTTTCGATTGACGCTACCAAACCAACTTTTTCCGCATCAATTATTCCACAGTATCTTTTAAATGAGAAAAAAATAATAATTATGTCATCGTCATCATCATCATCACCATCGAAAAAACATCAATTAATGGATATTAATTTTCCACTCTGTCAAATCTTTAAATTACAAATTAAAACAGTCATAAGCGATGTGAAAACAAAAAAAAATGAGGAAATTTTTATCATAACAATTGGCAACGAAAAGTTGACGCAAGTAAAAGTAGTTGTGGACATTTGCGTGGGTATATGCATTGTGTGTATTTTTTGTATCTAGTTTCTCGTGTAATAAATGAAGAGATTTAGAAAGGTCATGGAAATTTTAATTATTTTTTAATTTACAGTTCCGACATTTTGAAAATTTTCCATATTTAGATTTTTTCCTCAATTATTTTCAAAATTACATCCAAACACCATCAAATGAAACGAAAAATCTTTGAAAAATCATGGCAGAAGATGATTGAAGTCAATCTGACTATCAAAATCCGATTAATATCCACAAAAAAGCAGCTATCATAATGTGTGGCGACAAAAAAGTGAAAAACAACTCACAGATCTTTATGAAATCCTTCCTCTGGTAATTGTTTGGAGATGTTGATGCGAAACATGTAAATGCAGACGCCCGTAAAAGGACATGACCATCCGTCAGTTAAAAATAATTTGTTTTTACTGGCGCTCATGGCTGATGATGTACCTGGGATTGGAGTGCGAGATGATGAAGCTGTTGCACGCGATGGACCTGGACGACCTGAATGATCTGGAACGTGTTCTGCTTCTTCGACTTCTTGATAAAACCACATCAGCTTATTGCCTATCATAAAGGATATTTTTGTAAGAATATTTTAAGATTATTCAAGTTGGAGATTATTTACGCATGTTTGGTAAGAATAATTGATTAATCTCATCCAACATGTTGCCTTCAAAAATATGGTCCATAATCTGATGCCTCGGCAAACCCGTTCCGTCCATAAGCAGTTGAAACGTGAATTCCTAGTAAAAGGAAAATTTTAACTGAGAAAAATTCTAAAAATGAATAAAAAGTTTATTATTTTTTACCAGACGGGGATCCATTTCCTTTATAATTATTCAGCAAATAAAGAAGAAATAATGATTTATTATGAAACGATAACGCTTTTAAAATTATGATAAGTACCCCACGTCTCGCCTTTCTCTCGCATTCTTCACGTCGTCGCTGTATATCGGGATCATCAGGAGACATCATTTTGATAGCGTTGTCGTTTTTATTTTATTTATTTTGTGGCAAATAAAAAGGTTTCAAAATTCAAAAGGAAAAAAAAAATTCAAAAATGTTTTCAAAAAAATGAAAAAAAAAATCCTCAATTAAAAATTGGAAGAACTTTGAAAATTGTGAAAAGTTTTCCGTAAAAAAGGAATGATGTGTGACTATTTACACAATTTATTTATGTACAATATTATCCTACAAACAACAAAGAGATTACAAATTGTCATCAAATTCAACAAATCTCAAAAATCAACATGCAAAAACATATTTTGTCGCATAGAAAAAAGTTGGACAAATTTTCGTGACTCAAAACAATTCTGATTGCACATTAATATTTATGATGCCAATTCCATGGTTATTTTTTTGGACGAGTTCCAAGTGATAAATTGTGAGAAATAATAACAATAAAATAATTAAATCGATTAGTGAAATTTCAATTGAATTTTGTTTTGTTTGTAAAAAAATATTAATTAGAGGCACACTTTCAACATGACAAAAAGGTTGTCACATGTTAGGTATCTGTTGAATGATTAGTTGCAGTAGCAAATTCAGAAACTTATTGACCAATTTTAGACAACCTGTTGAAATTGTTATAGCCTCTCAATTTTTATAAAACAAATTTCACATTACATAAGTTAATTAATTTTAAATCAAATTTTGCTGTGTGAGAGAATGTAAATGTTTAAATATTTTATATACAAAAGTTTAGTTGCTAAGAAAACCTATTGGATTATTTAATCAATTTTTCCATTTTGATAGCATACTTTTAGGCTTAATAGAGTTCAGGAATGTGGAATGTTTGACTGCTATTCAGTATCAACATGATTCATAAGGATTTATAGGAATTTGTTAATAAAATCATCATATTAACTACATATAAACACTTAAGATATCTACACTACAATTTAATTCAGCAAATTTTGTGAGAATTTTGCATGAAATCACAAAATGCGCCACAAATTTTTGCAAACTAGAATATTTTCAATTTTCAAATTTTCCATCAAAAGTCCTAATAACTACACAGTAAGTGCGAATAACATTTAAAATCGTAAATCACTAGATTAATTTTAATTGATTTATGTTCATTATGTACAACTCATGGAGCAGATAATCCTAAACTTTCATAAATCACTAGTTATGTAACATCAAAATATGGCGGATTCTTCCATTATATAACAAAATAAAGTGAAAATTCTCAAATTTTCCATGAAAACCCCAACAAATTAGAAATTTTAAAACTTTAGAAAAGAAATTTAAAATTGATAATTAAAAGTTTATTATTAATTAATTGAATTGAATTGTTCGCACCTGTAAGAGATCAACCTCAGAAACTTCCTCTCCTTCATCATCGTCTGAGTCATCCATTTGAAACATTTTTAATTGATTTTAAGCTTTAACTTACTTGAGATGAAGTAAAGTTTTGCGAAAATTTATATTTTTTTCTTCTTTATTGTAAATTTATTGAGATAAAAACTTTCACATCTATAAGATACAAGTTCTTTTATTCAATCTGAAAAGCCATTGATCAAACATAACTTTTTTTCTTTCGCATGTTGCTATAACAATGTAGTGATTATTTACTCGTGCACAACAGTTTTTGGGGTTGTTATAAATTTTCGTTACAATAAATTTAAATATATCGTAGTCCTTAAATAAAATTGTAATATTTCCTCACTTATGGAATTTGCCTGCTTCAATGTGAAACTGAAAACTATAAATAACAAATTTTAAGTCGCAATAGATTTGGGGTGTTTAGATATTTTGCAATAAACTTTAATTTAAAAGCTATGAATTTTTTAACAATGAAAAATTAGAAAAATTCTAAAGTTTAAGAAAAATTCATTTTTTTCCAACTTGCTTCACGAAATCAAATGCTAGAATATAGACATCCTACAAAGAACCCAACATACACGAGCAAGCATTTTAGGTAGTATTAAGTTTCATATTTCGTTAAATTTATTTTATATTCTAGGATGACGATTTATAAGTTAAATATTTTCAAGGCTTAAAATAAATGATTTATTGATTTTTTTTTTTGAAAATCAAACGAATATTTTTAATGAAATTGTTGGATGACTTTTGAATATTAAAAATTTGTTTTTTGGTATGAAAATTTGCAGTCTTAACTGTTGCACTTTCATTCTTTTAAAATATTTTGTTAATCAAGATTGAATTAGATCTTAGGTTATAAGTTGATTAATGATGTTTTGTTTAATGTTTTTTTCTTTAAATCAGCCTTTTAGAATAGGATATATAAAGTGTGAATTTGCAAGTAGCAGAGTAGGTTCAAATCATCATATTTAAATTGGATATTATTTGTTAATGAAGCCAACAGCTCTTCTTTGACTTTCTATTTCTCATTATAAATTATAAAAATGGTCACATTTGACATTAAGAACGCGTTTTCCTCCGGAGAAAATAAAAGAAGAACCAAACATAGACTGTCTAATTGTAATATTCAGACTCTATAAGGATACTGCATCTATAAAAAAATTGAATACATATTCTTAACATTGTTGATGTATCATCATTCTCAATTGTCAACCCATGCATCAACAAATACAATTATTCAATATTCCATAAAAATCATTCTTCTGACCGCATCCATCAACTTTATTGTGCAACGTATACATACCAAGATCACTTGTTGATTTCTAACAAACCAAAATCAAAAACCTAGCAACAATTTATTATAAAACAAATTTTAAAGCACCTCCACAAATCCAATTTTCATAATAAGCATTATTTGCATGTCAATGAAAAATAAACACAAGAAACAGCAATCATAGTTTGAAAGACTTGCAACAAGTGTAACGTAAACATTTATTCAAGTTGCTAGGAAATGTAATAAAATTGAAATTTATTATTTTGCTCTAGTGAACTTGTATTTTATCATTTACATTTCTCACCTACCTGTTGAAAAGAAAACGTTTGATCGATCAGAGACGTCTGCCTTCCACTTTCATTCTTTACGTACCCCTACTAAGCTACGATAGACATCCCAAACAACTGTTGATTGGCTTTTTTAATAAAAAATTGTTTTATAAATAACTACTTGTTGAATGAATGGCTTATTATTGATTTCTTAGAGTTTATAGACTAGAAACTATAGTTCAATCTATTTTAAATTGATGTTATTTGCATTTTCTGTAGAATAAACTACAGTTTATCTATAAATATAGCTCGCCTTAGGATAAAATCGATGATTTGAATTTGAACTAATTTAATTATGTTCCTAATCATTCGGTCTTGTTTTCAATATTATTAACTGAATTTATTGACTTTAAGCTCAAACATTTCATAAAAAATGTTTGCTGTTAATTTCTTTTGAACTCAAAACCTTCACCAGCATCCATTGATTCATCTACTGATTTAGTTCATGCATTTTTAAATCGTCAGTAATTAACACATATCAAATAAATATTTGTCACCGAAATGTATCATACTACAAAGCACATGTTTGAATCACATGAGACATTTAATTTAAGTAGAAAATCTACAGTTGATTAGTTTTAAGCTATGATGCTTCACGTGCAAAAACTAATATTGATTATTTTGTATGTTTGAAACATTCAGTAAAGGAAAATCTCTTAATTGAGAGACTGTATCAATTAAATTCGATCTGGTTGATTGGAATTAAGCTCGATTGAAACAAAACTGAATCTTTATGAATTTTCAATAGCTATCGAGAAGTTGTAAAGCTTTAGAAATTTAAATGAAATTATGTTATTTACTAATTTAGTAATAGGTCATAGAGTATCATAGTTAACCTTAGTCAAACCTATTTCAAATAAACTTGCCATTTGAAAAACATAGTAAATTTTAATTTTTTAAAAAAAATTGACAACAATTCAAATAAAATAACAAATATTAATTGAAAATTTTCATCAATTCTAGAAAATAAATTACGATTTTATAAATATTCACGACAAATTCTCTTCATAAAGCTTATCACATTTACGAACGAAATTTGTTCTTTTCTCTACTTCGCAAAAATGTTTGACGTCATAGATTGCCAATAGCATGCACAACTGAGGCATGTTGCATGAAAACCGTTATCTGGAAAGGAAATAAGAATTCCAATGTTAACAGAATCCCCACTTTTCAAATTCCAACTGGCTTTATGAATGATTCGTGACTTCCAGTTGTCAGCTTTGCGCATGCCATGTTGCTATCACAATAGTATTTTCAATTAGCGAAAAAATAAATAAAAATAAATGCATTTAAAGTTTCAATGATTTAATAAAAAATAATATATAACAGTTTCATAAATCACACATCAAATTAAGTCTCGCACATCAATGTTAAATCAAATTCATGAACGTGAAAGAAGTAATCGTGTGAAATTTATGGACGAGCATATGGAAAATTACGATTTAGAAGTAAATTATGACTTTTTTAAAAAATGAGTGTAATCTAAATTCATTGAATCGAATAATTTATTACAGAACACGGCGCTGCATCGCAAGCTGCAAAGTAAAAATGAGGCATTAAAAATAATGCGAACAGAAGTTGAACGATTTCGTACAGAACGAGATCAATTTAAACTTATGGCTGAAACAATTCAAATGCGTTATTCTGCAATGAAGAATAGTCTCGAGAAGTCGGAACATAATGATACATTTGGGAGTTCCAGTTCAACTTTAGGTTTTCTACTCAATCAGACAAGAGAGAAAAATATTTCATTACAAACGGAAGCAGAGACATTGCGACAGAAGTTGTATGAGTTGCAAGGAGACATTAAGCTCCTTAGAAGTAAGAATGTCGACATGTCAAAATTGTTAAAAACTAAAGAAATCAAGAACAAGGAACACACTAATGATGAAATGCAAAAACTATGGAATGATGAGAAAGGAAAGCTAATTGACCAATTAGAAACATTAAAGAAGAAAAATGCTCAACTTCAATTTGATTTTCGTTCATTGCTTGATGAGAAAGAGGAAATTGTTACTGAACGAGATGCCTTTAAATGCAAAGCTCACCGCTTAAACCATGAATTAAGTGCTATTTTAAAAGGAAATGAGACTATTGATATTGATGCTCTAATTTTAGAAAATAAATTTCTTGAGGAAAAGACAACAAATTTAGAGAGTGAGGTGAAATATTTAAAGAAAGGACATGATAAACAACAGGTAAGTTCTGAGATTCTAAATGAAATTTTGTCCGATAAAATTATGCAAAGAAGTCCGAGAACTTAATTAAATGAACTTGAAGTTAACAAGCTTTAAAATGAAGCAGAAATTTTAAGTGATGAACTTAGACGAGTTCATCTTAATTTAACTTAATCATTCATTAAATCTTAACCAAAATCTATATGAATCAGAATTTATCCACTACAAAACCAGTTAAATCAGTTGCTAACTCCTATAGTCATGATTTGGAAATTATTAACAGCAAATTAAAAAAAAATTTATTGATGATTTATTTTCAGCATCTTCTGGAACAAAAACGTGTGAAAGGAATTATTAAGTTAGGTGATGATCGCAATAATCAAATGATTATGTCACATAAACAAGGTACAAACAATCTCAAAAGAAATATTGAATGATAATTAAAAATAAATTTATTATTTTAATCTAGTTAAAAAGCTATTAAACGACGGAACTGTATCAGAGCTTCCACTTAAAGCAGCAACAATAACTGACTTAAAAGCACTGTGCTTAGCATTATTAGATAATTTAAACGATAAAACAACAGCGTTGGGGCATCAAAAGAAAACTAATCGATTATTAGCAGCAAAATTAGCTTCATTAGAACAGAAAATAGCAGTTTTATCAGGTGAAACTAAGCCTGACTCACTCTTGTCTCCATCTCAGTTTCTATTAAATGGCTATACTTCAGCACGAGTTGATGAAGAATTGAGACTAATTAAGGATGAAAATTATCATAAAATTAACGGAATTGTCGGAGAATCATCGGAATCAAATCGAAGTATGATGTCTTCGGAATTTGAAACTCAATCCACGAGCGATATTTCAACTGAATTCAAGCATTTAAACTATATCAAAATATTGAACGAGGAAGAAATTAATGAGGATATTGAAAAGGAAATCGAAGACTGTCAGAGTCAAACAAAATTAGACGAACCAACAGAACTTGCAGATCTTCCACCAGACATTCAAAAACTAGTCGATGAAGCGATGAGAAATATAGAAATCAATGAAAATAATAATCAATAATCATATCGTTGTTAAGAGAAATAAAAATATATATACGAGCTAATCTTAAATAGTTATTTTTTCATTATTATTCAAATCTTCGTCACGAATTTTACATACACATCTTTCCTTATTGCTGACGACATTAAATATTCTCTCTTTTTCATTGCGCAATGGAGGTTAATGTAACGAATAATTGATCATTCGGATAGGTGTTAAATGGATGATAATTGATCTATATGACAACAAATTAAGATGATAATTAGATGCTTTTGTTTTTTCGGACAAGTATATATAGGGGTCTTATGGCTGTCGTCTGAATAGTTTTTGTGTGATTATTGTTGTGATAAGTGAAACAAAAGGCAAAAAAATAAAAGAAAATTTACAATAGAAATGCCTAAAAATTAAAAAAATAAATCTTAATTTAAAAAAAATCAGAGAAAACCTGGACATTCAATTAAAAGTACAAGATGAGTCGTAATACTAGATTTAAAGTGTCTCCTGTACCTCATCTGAATCTAGAAAGAGCAATTGATATTGAAGATGAAAGTAGTGGCAAACGAAATGGAATTGATGATAGAAAAGTGAGCTTAGCTCAGCTTACTCGGTACAGAAATTTATTATGAAGTTTCAGAAATATATAATTTTAATATCACGTGATTTTCAGTGAAAAGCTACCTCGACTTGATCATTTTCGATTGTCAAAGCGCATGTTTACTCGTCCATCGATTGGAGAACTTTATGGAGATCAAAATCAAAGAACTGTAAGTTTTTGAAGGCATCGAAAATTTATGCTGGGTTGATTAGAGTTATAGCAACTAATTTGATGTTCCATTCAGCAATTAAAATTCATTAGAAATTATGCGATTGGCTAATATTTTGTATATAGTAAAACAACTTTAGTCAACTAACCCCCAAAAAATACCTTAGCCTTAAGCTTCAGCCTCTAGCCCTAATTCAAACATCAAGTCAGTATTATTAAACAGCTAGACCCTTATCTTTGATAGTAATTTTTAATTATGAATTTAAAAAATTTATCGAATATATGATCAAAGCATCATCATCATCACATGCTCAACCAAAATATCCAGTTAATACTAGAAATTTTAAACACAATCAAACATTTTAAATCGATATAGTTGTGCGAATTGAATGCCATACATTTTCCCTTTCTTAATCTGAATGTGCTAATAGAAAAAATCAATTGGACGATTTGTTGCGTAATGATCGCAGATCAGTTCAATTATTGATATTGAAGAATTAATGACGTTTTACTTACCATTAATTTAGAATCAAGATGAAGTTATGATGGCAGGACACAACCCACACTTTCAACTAGGATGGATTCAAGGTGTCCTTATTCCTGTTCTACTTAATATTTATGGAGTTATGCTTTTCTTAAGAATGGGATGGATTGTTGCTCAATCTGGAATAATTGAGACTATTATCATCATTGCAATATCTGCAATTATTTGTATTATCACAACTTTATCTTTATCAGCTCTTTGTACGAATGGTGACGTTAGAAGTGGTGGTATTTATTACATTGTCTCACGATCTCTTGGACCTGAATTTGGAGCATCTTTAGGAGTTATTTTTGCATTTGCTAATGCTGTTGCAGCTTCTATGAATACAATTGGTTTTTGTGATTCCTTAAATGATTTACTATCTAGAAATGGAATGAAAATTCTTGATGGAGGAATTAATGATACAAGAATTATTGGAACTATCGCCATTCTTATTATGATTATTGTTTGTGCAACTGGAATGGAATGGGAAGTTAAAGCACAAAACTTTCTACTTGTGACTATTGTGGCTGCTGTTTTAGATTTCATTATTGGTACAGTTATGGGACCAGCAAACGAAACAGATCTTGCTCAAGGATTTACAGGAATGTCAAAACCAGTTCTTGAAGAAAATATGCACAGCAACTATCGGTTTAGTGAAGGTTTAGATCAAAATATTTTCACAGTTTTCTCGATCTTCTTTCCATCAGTGACGGGCATACAAGCTGGAGCTAACATTTGTGGTGATTTAAAAGATCCAGCATCAGCAATTCCAAAAGGAACAATAACGGCATTGTTTTTATCTATGGCAACTTATTTGGGATTTGTATTTGTTGTTGGATCATCTGCTTTAAGAGATGGTTCAGGTATTGTTATGGACATTGCAAATCAGTCACTTCCATACAATTTTAGCTGTGCTGTCGATCATGTAAGTCGTATTCTGAATATTTAAAAAATAATTTTGAATATCCTGATAATCTTTTAGTCCTGTGAGTATGGTCTGCATAACAACTTTGCAGAAATGCAAGTGATGTCATATTGGCCGTGGTTGATTTATGCTGGATGCTTTGCCGCAACATTGAGTACAGCTTTAACAAATCTTCTCTCTGTTCCAAGACTTATTCAAGCTTTAGGTGTTGATCGTATTTATCCTGGTTTTATTTTCTTCGCAAAACCTTATGGAAAAGTCGGTGAACCTTACAGAGGATATATACTTACTTTTATCGTGTCTGTATCTTTTGTGCTTATCGCTGATCTTAATGCTGTTGCTCCACTCATTACAAACTTCTATCTTGCTGCATATGCATTCGTTAATTTCTGTACATTCCATGCTGCATTTGTTCAACCATTAGGATGGCGTCCATCGTTTAAGGCAAGTAGAAATATACTTATTAGTTCTTCTTAAATGACACTAAATATGTATATTTCTCTTCAGTTCTACAATAAGTGGCTTAGTCTTTTCGGTTTTGTTATTTGTGTTGCCATAATGTTCCTGCTATCATGGCAAGCATCACTAGTGACTGTATCAATTGTTTTTGCGCTTTACCTGCTCGTTCACTACCGAAAACCAGATGCCAATTGGGGGAGCAGTGCACAGGAACAAGCTTATAAAAATATCATTTCATCATCTTATCGTCTTCAGGAAACTGGTGGTCATGTCAAAAATTATCATCCACAAATCTTAATTCTAGCTGGAAATCCATTTAGGTAATTTAATTTGATTTTTGAAGAATTACTCATAATTAATATTGATATTTTTATAGCCGACCACCTTTGATTGATCTAGCTCATAAGATAACTAAAAATAGCTCACTTCTGATGGTGGGTGATGTAAGACCGGAAAAATTGACGAGCTCAGATAGAGCAAAGAAAGTGAAAGAGGCATACAAATACTTTAATGATAAGAATATCAAAGCATTTTATAATCTTGTTGACGATGTAAGCGTTGACGTAGGTATTAAATTAATGATTCAATCAAGTGGCTTCGGTCAATTGTCACCAAACATTGTGCTTATGGGTTATCAGCAAAATTGGGCAACCGCTGGATATGATTCATTGAAAATTTATTACAATGTATTGCAGTGAGTATTTAAGACTTATGATTGTGTTAATTGATCTGTTGATAATTTGGAAACCTTTTTTCAGCAACATTTTCTCGTATCGCGTCTCAGTTGCAATTTTACGAATGCCTCATGGCTTAGATTATTCATTTAACTTAAATAATGGCCTTAGAAATATGGGATACGATCCATCAAGTAACGGATCATTACATGTGGTACTAGAAAATTCGATGACTCCTCCAATGACACGTAAGCTTGTGATTAGGAAGTTTAACTGACTATTTATTAACATTATTTCGCTTTAATCAGCAACATCGCCTAAATCAGACAAGAACAAGAAATCAATGAATCCCAAAAATATGGTTTCAGAGGAAATTGAAATGAACTACTTCAATATCAAGCAAGAAAAAGGAACAATTGATGTATGGTGGCTTTATGACGATGGTGGGCTGACAATGCTTATACCATTCATAATGACGATGAGATCTAATTGGTCGAAATGTAAAATTCGAGTTTTTGCTTTGACAAACAGACAACACGAGTTGGAAGTTGAGGAACAAAAGTAAGTGATTGTTTAAAGAAGCTTAGGGGCTGTTCACTTATTACGTAACGCGAAAAAATGACTTTTTAGACCCCCCCCCCCTCGTAACAGAATTTGTATGAAAAAAAAATTTCCTTGTTTGAACCGTAACAAAATCTTAGACCCCCCTCCCCCCCTAAAAGCGTTACGTAATAAGTGAATGGCCCCTTAGAAGTCTTATGAAAAGTTGACCTACTCCTAAATTATAAATGTACAACAACAGTCATGAAATTTTAATCAAATACATAAAACCAATTTCAGCATGATTCAATTATTAAAGAAATTGAGAATTGACTTTTCATCACTCGTCATGTTGCAAGGCATAAGTGATCTTCCAAAGGAAGGAACAACGAAATATCATTCCAAAATTCTCAGCGGATTCCGAGAAGGTGAAAATGAGCAATGTTTTGTATCAAATGATGAGTTCGAAAAAATGCGCGACAAAACAAATCGACAGCTAAGATTACGAGAATTACTGCGTGAACACTCAAAGACAGCCAATTTAATCGTTATGTCATTACCAATGCCACGACAAGTAAATTTTCATTTGATTTTCTATTAACATGTTTTTCTAATATTTTTAAAATAAATTAGGGAGAAGTTTCTGCACCGCTTTATATGTCTTGGTTGGAGGTCTTATCAGCTGGTATGCCGCCAATGTTGTTCGTTCGTGGTAATCAAACCTCAGTATTAACCTTCTATTCTTGAAGGTCTGCCCGACTAAATTCTTGAAATTTTACCAATATTTTTTTTTGAAATAAATATGTAAATGAATATAATAAAAGTTTATCGTGTTACGAGCACCAAATTAACTCCATCACAAATGTTTTCATTTTAGTAAAGAACCTTAAAAACATTATTTTGATTTTATTTAGCGGAAAAATTTGTTTGTCTAAAATATTAACACTCATCTACAACCATAACGAATGCAAATGAAAAGCTCAAATATTCAATTGCTAAGTACTCTATATTTTTGCATTTACCTTATCATTGCTGTCTTATAGCTCTTAAATCTTTGAGAAAAAAAAAAGAGAAAAACCTGGCTCCGAAGAGTGTCAATTAGCGAGGAGAATACACGAAGTTTTGTGTTTTTTGAAAAGCTATAAAATCCACTGCTAATAAGCGACAATTTTCCACTTAAACGATAGCAATCGTTGTTGTCCGTGTCTAGTTGTCGGTTTTATAGTAAGAATTTAATACTTGAGTGAAATTCTTAGCATTGATTTATCAGATATCGAATCAGTCGGTAGCGATTGTTTGACTGGTGCTGATCTAGTGCTTGTGAACATTTTCAAATGTCAGTAAATTTAAAAAAAAAAGTTTTTAAAAATTAACAATTTTTGTGATAAGAAAAACAAATTCAAATTTTTTGATGAAATAGATTTTTTCAAAAAAAAAGAAACATTTTTGATGAGAAATTTAAAAGTTCTGTTTGAATTTTTTTAAAAAATTAGAATTCTTTAATTTTCCTGATCTTTGAATAGTTTTTATTTTTTAAAATTTCGTGGTATTTAATAAACAACAATTTTAAAATGATCTAAGTGACAATTTAATATATCAAGAATTCAGTATAAAATCATCAAAGTGATGATATTTTCTATTAAATGAAAATGCCAATAAATTTCTCAATAAATCATTTTTACACTGCTAAACACTTTAATTCATTTTCATGTCAAATTAAAGATTAATTTATAAATAATTAATTTCGATTGCAATAGTGATGTGAGAAAATTTCATAAATAATAAGATAACTCACATAAAAACCTTTCTAAAATCAATAGCTACAATCATTAATGATATATTGAAAATAAATTAGAGTAAACTATACTAGAGACTAGCTTTTCAGCCTTAGGATGACAATCTGTTTAAATATATTTAAGTTGAGTTTTAGTTTTCCAAAATTAAAGTTCCGTTCAGTCTTTAAAATAATAAAGCTGTTAAAATTTTAAACTTTTGTAAATGTTTTAACTATAGTTCAATTTTAATTCTTTGTATTGGGAATTTATCAAATAAAATTTAAAACTATTCAATTTTAAAATCTAGCCAACCTACTCCATGCTAAACACTAAGCACCAAATTAGCAATAACTTTTCATAATATCACTAACCATCACTAATTAAGTTCGTGGGAAAAATAAATTTTAGGTGCAAAAAAATTAAGTCAGATCGTGAACTATTTTAAAATTGCTGTACTTATTCCGCTTCAAATAAGTGCAAAACAAAAAAAAAGTTTGAAAACCGCAAGTTTATGATTTATTTTTATTAATAAAAATGGAATAATTTATTTGCAGATTAAGTTCATTCTGTGATTGGTAAATAATAATTAAATAATATTGCAATGCAAAATGCAATCAAGAACTAATAACCTGTGAAGTTCAAGTGAATTAACAAAAAAAAAATACAGTTTTGAACAGTATGGAAAGATTCACGGTTACCCGTGTAAGTAACAAAGATATGAATAATGACAATAGTAAAAGAGGCACTGCAGAAGTGTCTCTCAATGTGAATGACTTATATCACCGTAAAAATTCTCATTCAGTTCCTGTTTCTTCAATTGATCGAAGAAAGTTCAGTTTTGCTCAATTGACACGGTAAGTTTAGTGAAATTTTATGTTTTTTTAAGTTGCGAGAAAAGCTTTTAAGGAAAAAAAAACTATAAGAATATAAGGACAATGAACTTAATTTAGGTCGCACGACAAGAATTATTGCAAATTTTACGATTTCGTTGTAAACAAAACAAATTTAAAGCTTTCTCCTACTTTTCTGTTCCAGTAAATTTTAAACCCATTTTACAGCTTTGCTCGGAAGTTATTTAATTTTGTGAACTTTCCCTTTCAAAGAATCACTTCATACAAATCAAATCTACCTCACTTGACTATGACTTAATTCGAGATATTACATCACTTAATCGCTAACTTATGTTAACGTATTCTAAGTGCTAATAATTAAGTTCATAACAAGAAATTGATAACTCGATCATTTCTAATTATCAAATAGTTGTGAAAACATGAAGTCAATCTTATTAGCTGCTTGTTAATTTTTATTTAATTCAATTTTAGAATCAATAAATAATCTCAAGTGTGATCAATAAACCTGATAAAAAGTATTTCTAAAACTTTTCCTATATTGAAACAATTTCTCGATAAAATATTTTTGCATTTATTTCTTCTAGTGAAGCACTTCCACGATTAGATAATTATCGAATATCAAAAAGAGCACTTAAACGTCCATCACTTGGAGAATTACATGGAGATCCCCAACAAAAAATCGTAAGTACTTTATTGTTTCGTGTATGAAATAACATAAATCATTTATCGAGTGTATTTACACTTTTATCAAAAACACGTTGTAAAATTAAGTACTTAATAGGATGAAGCAGAGGGAGATGATAATGCAACGACTGGACATGGACATTTTAAATTAGGATGGATTCAAGGTGTTTTAATTCCATGCTTACTCAACATATGGGGAGTTATGCTCTTCTTGCGTTTGTCATGGGTTGTTGGACAAGCTGGAGTTCTTACAACACTTGGAATCATTGGAATTTCGACTATCGTTTGCCTTATTACTGTATCATCTTTATCAGCTATTTCAACAAATGGTGAAGTTAAAGGAGGTGGAATTTACTACATCATTTCTCGATCACTAGGACCAGAATTCGGCGCTTCTGTTGGAGTTGTTTTTGCCTTTGCTAATGCAGTAGCGGCTGCTATGAATACGATAGGTTTTTGTGAATCATTAAATGATCTTTTAAAAAATCATGGATTAAAAATCGTCGATGGAGGCGTTAACGACGTCAGAATTGTTGGAATGGTTGCATTGGTTATTATGATTATCATTTGTGCTGTCGGTATGGAATGGGAGGTGAAAGCACAAAATGTTTTAGTCGTGATAATTGTTGGTGCTATATTTGATTTTATGATTGGCGCATTGATGGGACCAAGATCATCCGTAGATGTAGCGAAGGGATTCAATGGCTTTTCAATGGAAGTATTGAAATCAAATTTAAAGCCAGACTTTAGATTTAGTGAAGGATTGAATCAAAACTTACTTACAGTATTCGCTATTTACTTTCCTTCAGTGACGGGCATACAAGCTGGTGCTAATATTTGCGGTGATTTGAAAGAACCAGCTGCAGCTATTCCAAAAGGAACATTGCTTGCATTATTGATTTCAACAATTTCTTATGTATTATTTGCCATTTTTGCTGGTGCTGCTGCAATGAGAGATGGTTCTGGAATGCTTATGGATGTTACCAATGCAACCTTCCCTTACCAATTCGAATGCATGGCTAATAATGTAAGTTCCCTTGAATTTTAATAGGCATATAATTATTAACAAGAATCCTTTTTTCAGACATGCGAATATGGACTTCAAAACAGCTACTCAGTTATGCAACTTATGTCTATTTGGGGTGGTCTTATTTACGCTGGATGTTGGGCCGCTACATTAAGTACAGCCCTCACAAATCTTCTTTCAGTGCCACGCTTAGTTCAAGCATTGGGTGTCGATCGAATCTATCCTGGACTTTTCTTCTTCTCAAAGCCTTACGGCAAGAATGGCGAGCCCTACAGAGGATATGTTCTTGTATTTGTTCTCTCAGCTATATTCCTTTTAATTGCTGATCTGAATGCTGTTGCTCCATTGATTTCAAACTTTTATCTTGCCGCTTATGCACTTATTAACTTCTGTACATTCCATGCCGCCTTTGTTCAACCACTTGGATGGCGTCCGACGTTCAGAGTAAGTTATAATTTTTTCAGCAAATATAAAATTTGTCAATAGATTTGCTTTTTTATAAACTTCATATTTTCTCTTCCATTTAGTATTATAATGCATGGTTAAGCTTGTTTGGATGTATGCTTTGTGTCGTCATCATGTTTTTACTGTCTTGGTTCTTTTCACTCATCACCTTTATCATCATATTCCTTCTGTATTTACTTGTCATGTATCGAAAACCTGATGTTAATTGGGGAAGCAGTACACAAGAGCAAACATACAAAACAGCTCTTTCAGCAGCTCTTAGATTACAACGAGTTAGCGATCACATTAAGAATTACCATCCACAAGTTTTGGTTCTTGCTGGAAGTCCTCATGTTCGACCACCTTTGGTTGATTTGGCTCACTTGATCACAAAGAATCATTCATTAATGATAGTAGGTGATGTTGTTAGAGAAAAGATTTCATATCGTCGTCGCAATGAAATGATCAATGATGCACAGAAATGGCTTAATGCAAGAAAGATCAAAGGATTCTACAATCTTGTTGACAGCGTTGTTTTTGAGGATGGTGTTCGATCTTTGGTCCAAGCAAGTGGTTTTGGTAAATTACAAGTCAATATCGTACTTATGGGCTACAAAGCTGACTGGAGAACATCCAGTCCCGGAGATTTACAAACATACTTCAACAGTTTGCAGTAAGTTTGATTGAAAGATTAATGTTGATGACTTTCCACTGATTTGTGAATTTTATATTTTGTTAATTTTAGTACCGCATTTGATTGCCGTTCAGCAGTCGCATTGTTGAGCTTACCATCAGGAATCGATTTTGCACAATACGTCCCACAGTATAAGGAAAGTAACAACTTCCTACATAGTACATCAGTCAACTTTTCAACTGATGTTGAGACTTCACCAGAAATTAAGACTTCGAGATTTATGCATGTTGATTCTAATTTGAATTTGGAAGGAATGGTATCAAGCACATCATCTATTAATACTCCACAAAAAGGTAAAGTTTGATGTCATTTAAGACTTCTTCTAAATAATCAACCATTAAATATCTCCAGCTCCCCTCCCAAATCTCCAAAAGCAACAAAGCCAAATGTCATCTAGCGAGATTAATTATGCTACTCAAGGTGGAACTACAATTCCAAAAGACGTTATGGATGCAATGAATGTTTTCAATATTAAGCAGCAGAAAGGAACTATTGATGTTTGGTGGCTTTATGATGATGGTGGATTGACTATGCTTCTACCTTACATCATCTCAACTCGTTCAAATTGGACAAACTGTAAAATTAGAGTATTTGCACTGTCAAGTAGACAGCATGAGTTGGAAGTTGAGGAACGAAAGTAAGTTTAGTAATTGATAACTTCAACATTGATATTAATGACTGTATAATTTTCCAGCATGGCAAATCTCCTTTCTAAACTTCGTATTGACTACTCATCCTTGACAATGCTTCAAGGAATTACTGACAGACCAAAAGATGAGACAATTAGAATGCATCAGAACTTACTTAATGGATTTTTCGAAGGCCAAAATGAACATAATCCAGTTACAATGACGGAATTCAAACAACTTGAAGATAAAACCTACAGACATCTTAGATTGCGTGAAATGTTAATGAAACATTCCAGTCAGGCATCATTGATTGTCATGTCATTGCCAATGCCTCGTCAGGTAATCAAAAATTCATTAATGTTGAGAATTTATTAAGTAAATTTGAGTTATTTTTTTAGGGAACTGTGTCAGCACCTCTTTACATGTCCTGGCTAGAAATGCTCACTTCGGATATGCCTCCGATATTGCTTGTTAGAGGAAATCAATCATCAGTACTTACCTTCTACTCCTAAAACTTTTCATTGGATTCAATTAGCATATAGATTCTTGAATTGTACGTCTTGAAAATTATTATTAGTTGAACTTAGTTTTTATTCTTCTTCTTTTTCTTCTGAAGAGTCTACTACTTTAAAATTAATAAAAAATTGTTATAAAACAGCAATAAAACTTATTCATGCCGTGATTTCTGGAGTAAATGTTTCTTGAGGTGGTGGCGTGTACAGTTCTGGAGTCTTAGCTGATTGTTGATCATTTTTGTCACTTTGTGGACTTTCAATGCCATTTGCCTCTTTCTCCATTCGTCTCTCAATTTCTTCAGCCTCAACTTCTAATTGCTTTTCCTGTTCCTTCATTTTTCTCTCTTCAGCTTCTTGCTGCTCTTTTAATTTCTGCTGTACATGACGTTGAATATCGCGAGCACTTTTCATTAGTTTATTTGTCTCTATTCCACCTTTAGACGGAGATGCTTCACGTGACCAAGTTCGTCGTTTCTTTCTTTTATGATTGTCATTGTCTGATGACCATCCAGAACCAGATCTTGAACGTGAATCATTTTGTCTAGTTGGTGGAGTTTTCTTTGTATTGCCATCTCTTAATGTTGTGACCAATTTTGGCTTTGAAATGCTTCTTTGAAGACGATCTGACTTTGAATGTGAACGAGATCGTGAGGAATGAGATCTTGAGCGTCTGTGATTTGAACGTGAACGACTTGAGCGGCTACTAATGTAGCGAATGTTAGATAAATGCAGTTAAATGAGAGGAAATTAAAGTTGCAAGATTTACCTTCGACTTCTTGAGTATGATCGTCGACGACGTGTTCTGGTACGGCTATAATTATTCGAAATTTTCTTTTATATATCAAAATAACGTTTTTTCGAAAATTCAAAACCTCATTTTTCGATTTTTTTTTCTTTGCATAATTTTCAAAATTTAAGAAACCGTTTACAATTTTAATTTTATTTCAAGTTTACCTTTTACTCCTTGAATAAGATCGACGTCTAGGAGATCTCGAGTATGAACGTCTATCATCATGTTCATTATAATAATCATCATCGGATCGCCGATGATATCTACAAAATGTATAACCAATGTATCAAATCAAAAACTTAAGGTCATAATAATCACATACCTGCTAGTTTCATTGTTGTAATATCCACGACCTCTTCCACGTCCACGTCTTGGATAATTTCCACGATAATTCGGATTAAAATAGGGTCGCATAGGTGCCATTCCAGGGAAAAATGGTGTGTACATATATTGTGCTGGAAACCACTCACCTGTATCTGGATTAGGCATCCATCCAGACGAATACATGTTATTGGGATGAGGCTTCATTAATGATGATGATTTAGAACGGCTTTTATGACCATTCGATTCATCATCAGATGAGCTTGAACTTGCAGAACTGGACGAGTCACGACGTTTCTTTGACTTCTTTCTACTTTCATTGGAACTAACACTACTAGCACTTTGTGATCCGTCATCATCACTCTTTGAATCTTTATTCTTTGACTTCTTTTTCTTTAGTTTATTGCGCAGATCAAAACCTTTAAAACCTTTTGTTGGACCGTTAACATCATCTGCTGGAAACTTTGATTTGATTCGATCAAAAAGTGCTTCCAGCAGACGAATACTTTCCATTTTTCGTTGAGCTTTTAAAAGCTTTTTTTGTTCCTTGATGATTTTCTTCGTTAAATCGCTACTTTCAGATTCTGTGATTTTCTTAATGTTCTTCTGTTTTCTTCTTTCCTCGCGTTGCTTTCTACGTTCTGCCTGAATTTGTTTACGAACCTCTTCTTTCTGCTTTTCTTTATCACGTTTCTCTTGTTCAGCACGCAATTTCTTTTCTTCTTCGTCAGCTTTTTGCTTATCTTTTTCCATAAATCTCTCACGAATAACTAGAATTATAATTTATCATTAATTGAAGTTAATTCGAGAGTATTTAAGCAGTCATTTACCTTTTCGTCTCCTAATGCTCACATCACTTAAATGCTTAGTCTTATCAAAATTAACTTCTATATTGACAGCGACTAATTTGTCCTTATCTTTTCGCACTAGCTTCATTGCTCTAAATTCATCCATACACCTGACAAATGATGAGTATTCTGCGAACTGGACGTATCTAAAGAGATATTTAGGATTATTATCAGTTTTATAACTTATAATCCTCATTATTACCCTTCAAAGTATGTTTCATTGTCGAATGCGAAATTCTTAAGTCCTGTTAAGCCAGACTTCATTTGATCACGGTAAGGATCACAGATTGGAATATCTACTATCCTTACTTCACCGAATTTCTCGAAGATTCTCTTAAATAGCACTTCGCTAGGCTTAACTTGATCATCATTTTCATGATGTCTAGGGCAGAACCATCGGATTGGGAGATTAGATATGTAAATTGTGTCTGGTCTTTCGCCTGCGTGCATTTCATCCATATTTTTAGCATCACGAAAGAATGAATCCCAATCATGTTTTGTTGGAAATGGACTTCTGGATTCAAATGACCGAACTTTTACATATTCAGTGAATCCAGTGAGCTTAATTTGTCTGCCATCAAGTCTAGCTATTACATGCTTCAACTTATGACGATCATCCAGTTCAGCATCGAATCGAAGAAGCTCAAGAGTTGTTTTAGATACCTGAATAGTTAAGTTCCATAAATTAATTTACCGTTATTAAGTGATATGACTTGATTAACGTACCTTGAGCAATGAAAATGTATCTGGAAGAATCATTTGACGAAGTTTATCCATAACTTCAAAGTTACTTATAGTCTTTCCAGTCACATTTGCAGGAAGATTGATAGATATTGTCAAGTTTGCCAATGGCTTGAGATACAGTAAAAGTGGAGCATATAATAATTGTAGATCAGCATCGTTCTGGATTGTTTGCATATTCATGATGAATGTCGTTTTATTTTATCATTTATATTACACGATTTTAATCACACATTAATTAATTTTTGAATGATATTTCGATAATTTTTGAGAAAAAAAAAATATTTTAAAGGAACAAAAATTTTAAGTTGAGAAAAAAACCTGAAAAAGAAACCCAAAAAGACCCTAAAAGTGACCTAGTAATGTTAATCGAGCGCTTAGAGCACTCAACTACAAAAATACACAATTTTATCCACGAAACGCGATTTTAAATAGACTTTATTAATTATTCTTTCCAAATTTTAAATTGTTTTGCTCGAAAAGGGAAAACAACTTTTCAAAAAATTGAGTAACATACTATAACAGTCAAAATAAATTTGAATTTCCGAGCAGAAACAATTTTTAAAGAAGTTGTTATCCCCATCGAGCAAAATCGCACCGCTTGACGCCGATTAATTTACTTAAATTAACTAGTTTAACGTGTTGTAAAGAGTCTTAATATAGTTGAAATAAGTGAATTATTGTAATCTTAAGGATAGCGAAAAGAAAGTGTGACCAAAAGAGTCAAAAAATAGTGGAAAAAGGATTAAAAACTTTTTCAAGCTAAATACAAATTTGCGCCAATTGAAAAAGTTGTTTTAAAAATCAAAAATGGGCGATAGAGCAGAAGTTGGTAAGTTAAACTACTTGTATTTATCATCTTTTCTCATAAAAAGTCATTTAAAAGACATTTCTAATATAATGAAATAAAAAATAACCTTATTAATGAAAAATGTTTCTTTAATTAAACTATAGCTGAACCTTTTGATAATGATGCTGTCGAGGAACGTGTTATCAATGAAGAATACAAGATTTGGAAGAAGAATACACCATTTCTATACGATCTGGTAATGACTCATGCATTAGAATGGCCATCATTAACTGCGCAGTGGCTTCCAGACGTTACAAAACCAGAAGCTAAAGATTATACAGTACATCGATTGATTCTCGGTACACACACATCTGACGAACAGAACCACCTACTTATTGCAAGCGTTCAATTACCAAATGAAGATTTCCAATTTGATGCAAGTCACTATGACAATGAAAAGGGTGAATTTGGAGGATTTGGAAGTGTTTCAGGAAAGATTGAGATTGAAATTAAGATTAATCATGAAGGAGAAGTGAATCGTGCACGTTTTATGCCTCAAAATCCTTGTGTTATTGCCACTAAAACACCATCATCAGATGTTTTAGTCTTTGACTACACAAAGCATCCAAGTAAACCTGAACCGTCAGGTGAATGTCATCCAGATTTGCGTTTAAGAGGACATCAAAAGGAAGGATATGGATTATCATGGAATCCAAATCTTAATGGCTATTTATTATCAGCAAGTGATGATCATACAATTTGTTTGTGGGATATTAATGCAACACCTAAAGAATATCGCATTATTGATGCTAAGAATATCTTTACTGGACATACAGCAGTTGTTGAAGACGTTGCATGGCATTTATTACATGAATCTCTCTTCGGTTCCGTTGCTGATGATCAAAAACTTATGATTTGGGATACAAGAGTCAATAATACCACAAAACCATCACACACTGTCGATGCTCATACCGCAGAAGTCAATTGTTTGAGCTTTAATCCATATTCAGGTAAATTAAGCTAGAATTTCATAATTTTATTCAATAATTTATGACATTTTCTCGTTTAGAATTCATTTTGGCAACTGGATCTGCCGATAAGACTGTCGCACTTTGGGATTTACGTAACTTGAAGCTTAAATTGCACTCATTTGAGTCGCATAAAGACGAAATCTTCCAAGTTCAATGGTCACCACATAATGAGACAATTTTGGCTAGCAGTGGAACTGATCGTCGCCTTCATGTATGGGATTTATCAAAGATTGGTGAGGAACAAACAGCAGAAGATGCTGAAGATGGACCTCCAGAGCTCTTATTCATTCATGGTGGACATACAGCAAAGATTTCCGACTTTTCATGGAATCCAAATGAACCTTGGGTGATTTGTTCAGTATCAGAAGATAATATAATGCAAGTATGGCAAATGGCTGAGAATATTTATAATGATGAAGAGCCCGAAGCAGCAGCAAATGAAATTGAAGGAGCAAATGCTTAAGAAGAACATTTCCAATTAATTTTTTTTATTATCATTATAAGTTCACAAATTTCTTATCTTTCATTACTATTCTTAAATAAAGTAAATTTCGAGTAAATATGGGCGATTCTCTAGCACTATTTTTGATCAAACTACAACTATATTTTCATACAAATTAACTTTAGATACGTAATATTGATCCAAAAAATTTATTTATTTGTGCTCGAATGCTCAATTTTGTTAACATTCAGCAAGATTAAGATGCTAATTGACTTTAACGGTTGCAGAATATTTGAAAACTATGGTAAAAAATATCCGTTAAAGGAAATTCAAAAATTATCGACTTGAAAAATTTTGAAAATTGTCAAAATTTATTCTTTTGAAAAACAATCGAACGTTATTTTTTGAATAATTTCAAGCTGTAATTAATGAAATTCGAGCAAATCAAAGAATTTTAATATCTAGAGAATCGCCTGTTCAAGCACACAAATATCATAAAACACAATTACTGCTGTTTTTATCAATGTTATTATTTTAATGTTTTCTCATCTTTCGTGAATAATACATAAATGATTAATTAGATATTATAGAAATCGTTTCTATCTCACCTCACGTGTTTAATGACAAAAAAGGAATTGGTAAAAAAGAAAATTCATAAGAGAAATTTAATTAATTCAAGCTGTGGTCTTAAATCGTTCCAATCTTTGTCGAGCCTTTTCAGCATATTCATCACTTGTCTTTCCTGGTGCTGTGATTGTGACTTTTCCTTCAGATCCAAAACGTTCCTTTCGTTTATTCAACTTCTCGTCCAATTCCGACTTTTTAACTTCTGACGAAATTGCTCCAAATCGCTCAGCTCGCTTCTTTAGAACTTCTGGTGACGAATTATTGCTTACTGTTGAACTTGTTGGTGCTGTTATTCCAAAACGTATAGCACGAGCATCTAGCTTGATTGATGATGGCGCGGAATCAACAGTAACTGACGCATTAGCACCGAACTTTTTGGCACGCATTTCCATTCGATCTTTTGCTGACAATTCAGTTATCTTAACAATCTTCTTATCTGGTTCTGATGAATCATTCTTGTCCGATAATATCGATTCTGTCTTTTCTTCAAGTAAAATTGGCGTTTCTATGCAAACATTCCTCTTTAAAGAGATTTTCTTCGGTGCTGGTGCTGATTCCGGTGTAGACGATTTTGAAGAGTCTGGTGATTTCAAGAGATCGTGTGTTGAATCCAGTAATGATTTTTCCTCGCTTTCCAAATCATCCTTAAAATAGACTTGATTAGCAATCGATTAAAATTCAATTAATTTAATTATCTTACATCATTTAGTAATTCATCCTCGAATTTGGGATCAATTGATAGATCTGAATTTGCTGCTGTTAGACGATCAATTAGTTCTTGCTTATTACCGGTTGTATTTAGTCCTTTCGTCTTTAGAGCCTCTCTTAGCTCAGATACCTTGAAGAAAATTTAAAAATAAACAAATCCAGGTTAACAAAGTTTTTAAATTCAATTTTTTCACAAAGTCTTACCTTCATTTTACTCAATTCCTGATCCATTCTATGAATTTAACCTTATTATATACGATAATTAAGTTTCTGATGTATAAAACAATGAATTGATTGAGTTATTTAATTAAGTTTCTGCAGATTTTTTGAGCTTCAAACTTTTTTGTTGTTTAAGGGTGCGCAACTACTTTTATCTTTCAAAAAATTCAAAAAGTTTTCGATCGTTGATAAAAATCAAAATTTCAAATATAATTTAAACGTTAAAAAAAACGTAGTAAAATAAAAACATTAATTCTTTCTCTTTCCATTTGAGCTTTAATAGAATAATTAAATGTGTTTCATACAATTGCCATATATAAACTAATTTAGAACAAAATTAACGCCTTGATGACCATCGACTTCCTTGTCTTCGCCCCTCACGAGTTCTTTGCGTTGGCTTTTGATTATTAGCATTACTATTAAAGGCTCCATTATTACTATTATTAAATCCTGAATTATTATCCCATACAGTCGGAGATTTCTGTGCAGTTTGGTCTGGAAAATTCGCATTTGCTGGCGGAGGTACATTAATATTAAGTAAAGAAGGTATTCCACCACCACTATTACTATTTTCATTATCATAATGGTTATCAAAGTCTTCGGTACGAAATCGTTTTGCTTGAGGTTCAAAATCATCACCGTCCTGTCTGTCATTTCCAAAGGATGTTGCACTGTCCTGATTAGAATTTCCATTGCTATTGTCATCATATGACGATGATTCGTTCATTTCTGCTATATCGCCTGAGTTGAGATAATTGTAAAGAGCTTCATTGCCATCCATAATGGCTTTAAACAGTCTAGTTCCGGCTGTAAATAAGTTTAAATTTTGTTTTAGCTACTGGATAATGAAACTACATTAACACTTCATTTTACTCACGTTTGACATCAACTTCCTTTCCGAAAATAATCACTTTATTAGGACGAGACTCGTCGACTCTCAATACGCCTGGCATTCGTTCAATAACACTTAATATGACAGTCTGTGCTTGCTTTAGAATATCAAATGGCTCATTTGAACGTGTATGAGGCTTATCCGTCTTTGACTCGACATTCCACTGCTCTTGGAAATTTTTTGGTATGGGTTTTATAAAAGGCTTTTTAGCTGGCGCTTCAAGGTCCAATCCAGGAATAATTCCAATGTCTCCAGACTCAGCATTACCATTATTTGCTGGAATATCTTCTTGTTGTGGTGGCTGAAGCATATCAGGAATTTGTTCCTCATTATATTCTTCATCGTTGTATTTTATATCCATTCCTGGAATTACAGTATGCTCATCCATTTCATAGTCTTCTAAACCTGCAAGACTAGCAGGTAATGTATTCAAATTGTATTTATCTCTCATTTGATCTCCAGGACGATTTCTAGTCCAAAATTTGACAGTATGATCATTAGATCCTGAACATAAGATGTGACCACATGGATGCCATGCTAAGGTCCATACAATACTCTCATGTGCTGCCTCAATTCCACCAATTTCTTTGTCAGTCCTAAAATTCAAATATCAAATTAAATAAAAAGCTTTTAAAGCTATAATGCATGCAACTTACCCAACATTCCAGAAGAGAATTTGTCCATCGGAACCGCCAGAAACGAAAAGCCCTTCATGAACTGGATTCCAACAAACAGCACTTGCTTCCTTTTTATGTCCACGGAACGTCTGCATGTCTTCTTTTAAATTCCTCAAGTCAAAAAGTTTAAGAAGATGATCACGTGAAGCTGTGATGAGCCAATTGCCATTGTCATTCCATTTTAAGTCCATAACAGTTGATTTGTGAGCATGGAGTGTGCTCAATGATTGACCACTTTTTGGATCCCATAATTTTATTGGCTGTTGATTGTCTTTACTGCCTGACACGACAAGTGATTTTGTTGGGTGCCAATGAACACATTTAACGTCTGCACCATGTCCCCTCATGACTCTTTCCTCTTGACATCGAAGAAAATCAAATATACGAACAGTTCCGTCGTCGCTGCAGCTCGCAAATTTTGTATCAGTTGGACAAAAGCTGTTATGAAGCATGGGAAAAGAAAATAATTTTATGTGTTTTTTTTTTTGATGCACTGATGAGATTTATTTGTGGAATTTTGTACTTTATTATGTGTTTTGGGCATATTCTAATTTATTATTATTCTCTTTATTTAATTCTTTATTATTTTGGTCGTTAAAAGTGGAAATTCAACATGCAAACGATCAGTGATTTTTTTTATTTCATTTTTAACGGCTTTTTGAAATTTCAATTTTATGAGCTTCGTTGAAAACTTGAAATTCAAAACTTAACGAACTTTTAACGGTTTTTTCGATTTTTAATTTTGTAAAATTTCGTTAAATCTTCGTTATGTTTTATATTTCTTAAAGGATTTTCAACGCTTTTTAAAATTTCAAATTTATAAAGTTCGTTATGTTTTGAATTTTAAATTTTTGTCCGTTGAATTTCATTTAAACATCCAGTGAACCGATTATATCTCTCAAAAATTGTCCTTGAAATGTAGAAAATGACGCAAATATCTTCTTTATTCAATCTTTTAAATTCTTTCTATCATCTCCAGCTAGGTTGGTAAATAAGAAAAGTGATCCAATGAAAAGACTTTGGAATTTCTTTCAGTAAATAATATCCAAAAATTTATTCACAGAATTTCTAGATATTTGACAAATGCTTCATTATGCACAATGTTTTTAATATTCAATCATAAGTTATAGGACGTAGTCTTTATTTTTGTTCATCATTATTTATCACAGTAAAAATTATCACAGAATCAAAATATTTAATTTTAAATAAATTGCGTCGTTAAGATCCTTCTATTTATTTTTTTAAATTCTTTATTAACTGGATCTTCATGGAGACTAATCTTTATTTAGAAAATTTGTGATATTCTTGAGATCATGTTTTGGTGAGGGGGTCAAAATTAGGGGTAAGTTTCAAGTTATATTTCTTTATTTGGTCAAAAAAGATGTAAAATTAAACAAAAAATCTTTGGATCTACCTTATTCCTCTAATAGGTTCCTTGTGTGCTTGGAACTGTTTTACATTATTCATGTTTGACTGCCAGTATTTTACGAATCCATTGTGATCACCAGTCACCATCCAGTTATCATTGTGTGACCAAACCATAGATCTAACTGATGTGCTGTGTGCCTGTAGATTAAATAGCCATAAAATATCTTTAATCAATAGAATTATTGAGCTATAAGATGCATACTTGTAAGATTGTCTCAAAATTGAATGTCAAGCCATTCCATAATGTAAATTCACCAGAACTTGCTCCTGTAATTAATCTTCTACCTTCTGGTGTCCAAGCAACAGTAAACACAGGACATCTCATCTTGTTTGTGGCTGTAAAATTCAAATTATATTGATTCTAATCCAGAACATTGCCTTACACGTCCAGTAAACGTCACCAACTTACCCGTTTTAACGAATCTTGTGGTTATTGAGTTGGTAGGATTGTCCATATAACTCGATGGAGGAAGAAGATCGGGAATGTATGTGTTTTCTGGTTGCAGTGCTCTTCTGTCTCTATGATCTCGTTGCCAAATTCGATTCTGTAATCAATAGCGTTAATTAAAACTAGAAATTACAAAGAATTAGGATTAAATTTACCTCTAATGCTTTTATAACTGACGCATTATAATCAACAGTCTTTCTCATTACACTTTTACGTAATCGCTTGCCATCAAAGTCATCCTGAACTTGCATTCCATGTTTGTAGGACTTGTAATAAGGTTTATGGTGATGAAAATTTGGATGAAAAGGTCTTGGCTGAAAATTTGGTTGATGAAACGGAGGTTGTTGAAAGTTTGGAGGCGGCATAGACAATTCAGGAGGTGGAAAATCCATTGTTTGTATTGTTTAATCAACTTTTCTGAAATTTTTCTTTATTCCGGATCTTTTTATTAATTTTTTTTTAAACCACAATGCGTCCCACTTTAAAAACTCTATTTAAATCACATGCACGATACTTATGATCAATGTAAACAGTTTATTATGGTGTATTTGGATGTATATTCTATGTTTTAAATGTTTTAAATCATTTTTGATGAGCTTTTCAAGTGAAATTAATAAAATTAAAATATTTTTCAATAAAAACTTATTTGCGATTATTTTGACAAATTTGAAATTTTGAAAGCTGTTGATTTTTTTTTGAACTATAGAATCCACGGGAAAATGACAGTTCTTTCAAAATATTCTAGACAAAAATTTGAATAATAGTAGCTAATCTAATTAGTTTAACACTAGTTCTATTGCTAATTTGCATCCCGGAATGCTGATAAATTAATAAAAAGTCGTTTAGAAATGAAGGATAATAACCGTCGTGCGAATTTTTAAAAACACTCGAGTGCGTTCAGTGAGAGAAATCTTTCTTTTCCTCTAAATATTTCTAGCAAACGTGCATAAAGTGAGTGAAAATATTTAAATTTTACAGTCAAACAAGGATTTAACATCCTGAATTTATCGTGGACATCCAGATAAGATACCAAGAAATGCTATCCACATAAGTTTCTGTCTTTAATACACCTAAAATAGCGATAAAATTAATAACTTGATCTTTCGTCAACAAAAAATTGTGTATAGCATAATTTTGATATTTTATGCAATTCTAGAACTCTGCTATAAATGCAAAATTCATGCTTAACATAAAACCTTCAAAGTTCAATAATCAAAACAAGAAAAGACCTCCTAGAAGTTATTTAAATTTTGTGGATAAACATTTTTAAGGTTAAATCTTCTCTGGATGTTAAATTTGCGGAACATGTAAAACGTCAATATTAATCCAGTTCATCTCTTCTTACTTTTTAGAATATTTAAAGATGTCTCTCGTCATACCAGAAAAGTTTCAGCATATTTTGCGTATCATGAGTACCAACATTGATGGTAAACGCAAGGTTCCAATTGCAATGACAGCAATCAAGGGAGTTGGACGTCGTTATTCCCATGTCGTTCTCAGAAAGGCTGATGTCGATACTGACAAAAGAGCTGGAGAATGTACAGAAGAAGAGGTAAAATATATTTACTTAAATTAAGTGTAGATCATAAAGCTAATGGTTGGATTGTCGAATTTGCAGGTCGAGAAAATCGTCACAATCATTTCCAATCCACGTCAATACAAAATCCCAGATTGGTTCCTCAACAGACAAAAGGATATCATTGATGGTAAATATTCACAATTGACATCTTCATTAGTCGATTCAAAGTTGCGTGAAGATTTGGAACGTCTTAAGAAGATCCGTGCTCATCGTGGTATGCGTCATTATTGGGGACTACGTGTTCGTGGACAGCACACAAAGACCACAGGACGTCGCGGACGTACTGTAGGTGTGTCAAAGAAGAAGTAAACATTCTTACATGCTATTTGTGCATTATCAATATCAATGCACTGTTTTTGTATAATGCATCATGTCTGCATTAACTTGAAAATTAAGAAAAATACACAAAAAAATCCAAAAAAAAACAAAACAGTTCTTGATAAATAAATTAAGTTTCAGTGACGTCATTTCGCATCCTAGAACCAGTCTGCAAATATTCACGTGTCGTTCATCCACAGCAGAAGAATTTGTATCAATAATTGCGTGTGTTTTGGATGCCTTGCTTAATAGCAACATTGAATAAATTTAAATGATTTTTATATTTTTTTTGAAAAAAAAAAATCCAGTTTGTCCGGAATGAATGGAACAATACTTAATATGTTTTCTACAAATATTGGCAGTTTCTTTTCAGATTCTGAATAAGTAAGCCGTGTCTAGATGTTTAAAATTAATTAATCGCTCGAAATAAGTCAATTAAAGTTACAGAAAATGACTAAGGATACAGAAAATCAATCGGAAGTGAAGCTTTTGGGCACACAAAGCTCACATCAGCAAGATGCAGAAACTATTACACTGGATAACACAAACGAACCAGAAAATGGCAAAGACGAGCTGTTTGTTCAGCATAAACAGAAGTAAGTCACACAAATGACCTTAAAATTCGGCACATTTGAGGGTTTTTGTGTTTTGATCATCTCCGCTTATATCAAGTCAAAGGTCAATAATTTAAATCGACATTAAACATATTTGTTTGCCGAAAATCTTAAATTAATTAACGTTTGTGTGTGGTCTGTGGTTAGTGTCGATTATTTATTAATCTTCAAAATCAGCTACCTACGGTAGTTACGGCATCGATTTATTAAGTTGTATGTCCATAAAGATCTCAATTGTTTTCGGGATCATTAGCGATTTATCGTCCATAGCTTTAAAATAAGAAAACAATTATTACAAACGTTCTATTGAATCTTTTAAAGACAATGCTAAACGGAAAGGAATTTTTCCCATTCTTTTCATAGAAGACATTTCCTGACCACAAAAATATATCACTGATAGTCATCAGCTAAAACTGTCATAATTTGCATACAAATATTTCTGTGATCATCATAGTAAAATTTGAATAATCTGGCGATTTAGAGAACTGCTGAATTCTTTTTCTGGGGGCAGTGAAGTTTCTGATGTCCTTTGATGTTATCTTACTGGTTTGGAATCAATAAGCTGTGTTGGAAAGGTGATTTAAAAAAAGTCGTTGGGAGTTATTTTTGAATTTTATGAAAAAGGGCTGTGCAAAATTTTTTTGAACTTGACCGAACTTTTAACCGTTAAATTTATAAATGTTCTTTTCATTATGAAGTCTATCATTTAGTGGCTAGCATATTAGATTCTTTCATGTGGTGCTTTTATATTCATTTTAAATCATATTGCCCTGTTTCTATATCTCGAAAATCTTAACCATTGAGGAATTTACAAATCATAATTGTTTGTTAAAACATGTCAGCATGTTTGATATGAAGAAATACTTCAGCAAGCAATATTGAGCATGTGAATGTGGTCAAGGTTTTAAAATCAATCAGATGCATGATTACTTACTTAATGCACTTTTCGAGCTTCTATTTTAATGAAATTCTCACTTAAATGATAGCAATTAAGTAAGATACAGACTCAAGTGTGTGTGTCTACGCCTCGCGTCGTTTATGTTAATCTCTTAACACTAGATTATCATGCACACGCAATAAAAGTCTAGATTCATATCAGTTAACATACATTTTCTCAATGAGTAATGAAATGAAGAAAATATGAAAAGAATATGAGCATCTTAACAAGCCTCAACATTCAACTTCGAGAGAAAAAAAAACATTCAAACAGCCAAACGAAACACACAGCACAACTAGCAACGAAAAAAAAAAAGTGTTAAGCAATATAAAATCGTTAACAGTGAAGTCGAATGCTTTCAGTTCTTTCGCGGACACCGGTATAGTAACTTGTAGTCATTCGAAAGCTTGCAAATAAGTTTAAGTGAAGTTGGGTAGCATCCCAGTCCTCCCCTCTACAAGCTTTTTTTTATGATTAAAAAAATAATTGAGTAAAGAAATTAGTGGAAAAGTGTTAAAAGTGTATGCATTAAGAAATTAGTCACCTAATTTACCCGATTTAGTGCTGAAAGAGTGGAACTAAAATTTTACTAGTTTGAAAAAGCTGTTTTTGAAAGCCAAAAAAGCAAAGTGAACATAATCAACTTAATCGTACATTAAAAAACTCTTCATCATGACTCAAACTGTAATCAAGTACGTATATCTATCCTATTATGAGCACTGAACGAATAATCATAATTAATGTCAAATGATTTAGTGACGATAAAAAAATTCGAATTTAATGACAAATTTCCACAATGAAGTCTTATTATTAAAATTCAACGCATGATCAGCAATGCCAATTTGATTTTAAGTACCTACGAACTTATTTTTGGAATGTCATACATACTTTCTAAAAATAAGGTTTAATTTTGATTGGCAATTCCAAGTCCAAAATCTCGGTATTAAAATGAGGATAATCACCTGCTCCGAGTTTGCAAAAATATCAACAATAAACATAAAATTATGGATTTAGATCAAAAGTGAACGTTTGAATCAGAATGAAGGAAGGAATTCCTTTTTGTGACCCAAATTTGATGACTTTTTTTGGTGCATTTTCTTCTTTTTGTCGAAAGAAAAAAAAACAAATTTGTGTTAATTTAATTCTGATAGACGAGAATTCGATAAACACGACAACTTTCCATTCCAGTGGATGGATTTTGCTTGTTGAGACAGTCTTGGCGGTGTTTAATGGTTGAGTGGGTTAAAAGTTGAAACGCATTTTGTTTGAAATTGAATCTGAATTTGATTCTTTTTTGGTTTGACCAAGATATATAGATGTGCTCATACAAAAATATCGCAGTTTTTAAACGTCAAAAATTTGAATTTTCTAAAAACACTAACACTATAAAAGAAAATTTTCAATTTTTGTTTTGCAAAATTTTCAACTTTCTGTTAAGTGCTTTGCTATAATTAAAAGTAACTGACTAAAGTCAAATGTTGTTGCATCTGTCGATATTTAAATGAAAACTTGAAAATAGAAAATTTTAAAAATTTTTGTTTGTATAAGTACACAAAAAATAGTATGGTCGAGTATGGTCAAGTATACTCTGTATGAGCCATCTATATATCTTGGGTTTGACATAAACCTTTAGATTTTTTGATGAATTTTTTTAATCTTTTTTGAGTTTTTCTAGATTTCAAGGAATTACTCAATATTATTTGTCAGATCTAACAGTTCGGATACTATAAATGAATGATTTAAAAGTTTAACATCTTATGAAACATTGAGTTTGATTCAAAGTTATTTGTTAAAAGTCAACAAGGTTTAAGAACTTCATTTTCAGACTGAAGAATGATTTTCAGTTTTTTAACATCAAAAAGGGATTTTCCAAAATCACCAAAGAACTTGATCTTCTCTTGTATTTAACTTTTAAGAAATCCAACAATAATATCTTTAAATGTTATATCATCTAGTCATATCAAAATTTCCGATTCTTCGAAAAAAACATGCTATCAATTCCCACCTTAATAATCACCAAGAAAAGAAACTTACATTTTTATATCGCTGTAAATCAAAGAAAGAAAAGAACAAAAGATAAGAAAAAAACAAAGAAAATAGAGAACTAGGCCAACTATTAAGCTTTACACAAAAATAACTCGATGACATTTTTAATGTGAATATTTTTATAAAATCCCAAATTAATATTCATTTACGGTATCCATAAAGATTTTACATGCATGTGAAAACAGTGAGCATATCTAAATGAGAAATTTTTGTATTTTCTTCTTTCTGCTGTCTCAAAATATGTGTGTAAATTTTTTCTATCATCTATAATACAGCAAATCAAAAATGTCAAGTTGTAAAATCTCAGCATATGGATTAGTATGGCTGTGTTTGAATAATTAATGATGAATTCGTCAAATATTTTGAATGCCGAATGATTTTACGTTATGCTAAAATTTCAAAATTTATAATTTAATGATCAATAATTTTTTTTAAAAAAATTCATCTCTCAATTCGCCTTAAAAATAAATTGAATGTTTCATAATATTTAATAGAGTAAATTTAAAATCACAGCAGTAATCAACCAAGAAACAAGTCTATTAAACAAAATGCAACCGAACATGCATTAGCTCTTGCGAAAATTCCAATAAAAATAATGAAATAAATAATTTATGAATGAATAAAAGTAAAAACTTGTGAACAAGCAGGTTGATGATGATAGTATTCAATTATTATACAACAGATCTTTATTTGTTCGAAAAACTATCTCGTGATGAGATTTTTGTTGGTGCTATTGCTTATAATGAAGAAGATTCCCAAAGACAGGTTTTTTTTATCCAATTGTCATGCTTTACATTCACATTTTGTCATATGACTTTGAATGTATTTAGCCTTTTAAATTTTGTTATATCATGGGCAAGATCAAAAATGAATTGTTCGTGACGCTGAGCAATAATTTACAATTTTTAAATCATTAATGCAAAAAATGCTGATCAGCTTATGTTTTTCTAAAAGCTCTCGCCAGGACCTGCATTTTGGTATATAACAAGTGGCATTTTGACATTGTGCTATAGTTAAAAAGTTTATTTAAAGTGCTAAGCGTCACGAACAATTTTAAGGAAATTCGATTTTGCACTATGTTGCAAATGCAATATCTCTGCAACTAATAAACCAATCTTAAAAATTCTTTCACTAAGGAATTAAAAATTCGTGGCAGTAAATGTTTAGAATAAAAAATTTAAAATTGCGGCTTCATAAGTTAGCTTAATTAACGTTTTAAATGTTTTGGTTGAAAATTCCATATGAAGAAAACAGTTTAGGAACTAGCTGTGTTCACAAAAAAGGTAGCAAATATGGTTTTCCTTAAGCTTATTGAAAAAATTTCAAGTTCTACTTTAATTAACAAAGTTACAATGAATTTTAAAAAACTAGATATAACTTTTTGCTGTTTTATTGTTCTAATGATTTTTCAATGTAAAACTATAGCAAAACATAAGATGCATCTTGTTGCAAAAGAAAACATTTTAAGTCTTTATGAAAAGCCTTTGAAATCATAAAATGTTAAAAAGATTAACCAAGAAAATTGTAACGGTTTTAAAAAATTCAAAATTCTTATGAAATTCTGAGCGAAATTGAGCAAAATATGTTGCTCAATTAAAAATACAATGTTTTTGAGTTAATTTAACTCATTTTAATGCCTTTTACAGATACAATTTCTATAGAAAATGACTTTTTAGCTACTTATTAATTGTTTTCAGCCAATTAGAGTTAATATTTTCGGTTAAAAAGCGATTTATTCAACAAATTGAGTTTTAGTTAAATTAACTTAATCTATTTAGTTTTTTGAAGTCACAATACGGTGTTTTGATAGAAAATATCAAAATCTACAACTTTTGTGAAGATCTTGAACAACCAACTTGCTTCCTTCATATGAAGAACTCTACTTTAAATATTAATTTGTTAATTAAAGTAACTTGTAAAGTCGCCATTTTAAAAAATAAAACAAAAAGTTAAACTTTCTGAAATTAACTATCGATCTTTAAAAAATCATTAAAATTGGATGCTGGCAAGCAGAGAAATCAGCATATAAAGTTTTTTTCCCTTTTTTTCTGATCTTGCCCTCATAATAAGTGATCGTACGGAAGTTCTCAAAATAAAGAAGCTTTAACATTGTTCTTGAACGTGATATTGAAATCAGGATGACTATGAATCATTCAGACTGAAAATAATACCTCAGATTAAACATGCCAGACGTAGCACTCGTAAAACTCAATAGAAATGCGATTTCTAGTCCATTTATCAATCATATTAATGTGCTTCCATATATATTAAGAGCTCACACGCAACACTTAATTGAAGTGAATCATTTAGTTCTCTTAATTGAGATTTACGATACAATTGGATGTTGAATACTGAATCGATTTGTTGTGTATTTTATGCCATGAAAAACTTAAGATGCACTAAAAAGATCATTTCTGCAACCCCACATGTTTTTATTCATGATTAATAAGATTCAAAAATGATTAGTTTTCTTTTCTAAAGCTAGAAATTTTTAAATTTGCCTTAATTCGCTTCATTTTTAGATTTTCTGAAGTTAACACTAGGTGGTATATAAAGTTCTCAACATCTTATCTTCAAACACACATCCAAAGTTACAAATTTTTGCAAAATTTCAATCAAAAACTCTCACAGACTTTATGGTTCCATTGCCATATTCAGAAACAAATGATCATACTGAGCCACAAAAGAAAGATAAACGTTATGTCTATCAAAAAGTGATTTTTCATGCATTCCATAGCAAGTCATTTAAATTTTCATTTCATAATTCAATTCGCTTATATCTCATGACTTTTAATTTAAATGTGCTTAATTGAGATGAAAAGAGTAGAAATTAATTACATTTTAACACAATTCAATGCAAATTCAAAAAAAATGTGCGTAAATAATCATTACATGAAAAATATTTCAATGTGAAGCCCTTCACAGTCGGATGTAATAAAATAATGATGATTATATTGTTTTGAACAAAAAAAAAACTATTTGATTTGGAAGAAAATTATTGTTTTACTGAATATGAACCGCGATGAGATGTAATTTTCTAGTCGTCCGGTTACCAACCTGACTTTTACATAATCGATTGTCTACAATACTCTCTATATACTCTCTTCTCATCTCTCACCGCTGACTTGTTTTGACTTTTACTTTTCACGCAAACCACATTCCACGTATATACACTGTGTGAAAAATTCAGGCAGCAGCAGAAGAAGGTCTATTAAATACATATTATGTATCCCATTAATGGTGTTAAACTATGCCGTAATTAGAAGCTTCAGGCAACGAAGAAATAAATATAATTTCGTGAACTGTTCCGTGGGAGATATTCGAGTCAAGTTCAATGCCATTTTTAGCTTCGGAGAAATGATCTTAAAAAGTAAACAATATTCCAAAAAAGTCTATTTCTTAAAATTTACTGTCTTTTGTTCGAAACAGATTAACTGTCAGTTTATTAATTATATTTGTCAAGGGGTCACAGCTCGTTGTTAAATCATCATTAATCTTAAACTATGAGCAAGTGCGAGCATCTCCATTTAATGTCTACTATTGTTGTCAAACCTTTAGCATGCACATAATTCGTTGAATCAATCACACAACGTGAAGATTTTATATGAACGGCTGCCGCTTCTGTCCTTTCAATAGACTTTGAAAT